TGTCAATATCTAATGCGACTTTTACATTTAGAAAAAATAAATAAAAATAGCTACTGAAAACTTCACATAATACCTACTTTATTCTAAGTTTAGTGTTATTTTGACAGATTTTATTTAATTAGATAAATTTATCTAAGTAGCCTTTAATAATAATATTTGTGGAGGTCTTAAGGTGGTGGTTTTAAAAGGCCTAACTCACATTTCTAAGCATTTTTTTTTTAATATTCTAAATACTTCTCTTATTCACGACTAAAGGTCATATTTAAAAACAGGCTCGACTTTTTTAAAAATAAATATTGCAACACTAATGACGTTAGTAATAACGAACTATCACTATTGAGGTTTCAAAGTCAACTTAAATATACAGTGAGCATCATAAGTCTTACCCCCTAACTAACTCGTTACTGGGGTCTTGTTAGGAAAATCGCCGAAAAAGGTCGATTTTTGATTTCTACAATGTACATTTTTGCATGATTAGTTTACCCTTAATTTCATCCCTTACTGGAGGGTAGCAACCTTTTCGAAAAATTTAAATGGCATGCGGTGGTGAGTGATAGCTCATTTGAAAGGGCGTTTTATTCTCTATTCAACCGTGCAAAAAATTTTGAAATTTGCTTCATTACGTGTTGATTTATTAATGTTTAAAAATAACAAAACCTCACAAAATAGGAAAGCAACTAGACTAACAGTGACCTTCTAATGGCAAAACGTCTTACTTCACGTCTGAACCAAAACCGAAATCATGCAGGGCAGATTTTTAATTATAAGAATGAGTGCGCTACGTTAATTTCCGTTATTCTGAAACAACAATTAGTCGAGAATTAATGAAGCAAATTTCAAATTTTTTTACACCGTTAAATAGAGAATAAAACCCTCTTTCAAATGAGCTATCACTCACCACCCCATGCCATTTAAATTTTTCGAAAGGGTTGCTCCCCTCCAGTAAGGGATGACATTAAGGGTAAACTATTCATACAAAAATGTACATTGTTGAAATCAAAAATCGACGTGTCTCGGCGATTTTCCTAACAAGACTCCAGTAACGAGTTAGATAGGGGGGGGTAAGACTTATGGTGCTCACTGTATAATAAACTTCGAATAAAGTAGGTATTATAATAGAGTGAGTCTAGAATTGGTTGCTATTCTTAATTTAATGTTAGTCCTATCAGAAATTGTCAAAAACTTCTTTAGTCGATGATAAATTACAGCTGGTTGAATTATAATCACTAATTAACAGTCTATTTCCTGTTAACCAGTGGCTAGTTAAAATTAAACTATTTTGTAAATTGTTTTTGTCATTTAAATTTAAAAATTTAAAAATTATTAACTTTAGGTATAGGAGGGAATGCTTGACTCCAATGAAACTTTAATTAAGGTACTTTTAAATGGTGATATAAAACACAGGGTGGTCAATTTAAAAAAATTTGAAAATGATATATTTGATTTTTGGCTCACTCTGTACAGATTTGTTTCTAATTGAAAAAAAAAATTGTTTTCAATAATAGTTTCTTTTGCAATATACAGGTCATTGAAATTATTATCGGTGGCCCACCCTGTATAGGGTGTTTCAGTTTTTTGTAACACGATTTTAATAACTCTCGACAGAACTTTTAAAATCTACCGCTTAGTTTTAGAGATACTTATAGAGTGTCCAAATTAAAAATATATATTTTTTAATTTTGTTAACATTTTTTAACGTATTACATTTTACATTAAAAGTTGGTTATACACGGTTTATATGTATCGTGTAAACAATATTTGACGGAGCCGAGGGGAAAACCAGTGTACTATTATGGTGTACAAGCAATCTGAACTATGTGTAGATACTATTTGTGTAATATTGCATGTTCTATTTGTACTATTTCTATACTACTGTGTACTATTTTTGTAGTATTTTTATACTATTTGTGTATTATTTGCGTACTATTTTGTACTATTTGTGTATTATTTGCGTACTATTTTGTACTATTTGTGTATTATTTGGTGATAATTGTGTAGTGTTTTCACTGCAATGATCGACATTTTTTTAGATCATCATGTGAATTTTAATATCGGGGATCTTTTTAGGTCATTAACCTAATTTTTATCTACTTGTGTACTATTTATGTACAATTTGCGTACTATTTATGTACAATTTGCGTACTATTTATGTTCAATTTGTGTACTATCTGTGTACAATTTTTGTACTATTTATATACAATTTATGTACAATTCGTGAACTATTTGCGTACTATTTTTGTGCTATTTGGGACAAAGTATGTACTAGTGCACAATTTTCCTAGCGGTTAACCCTTCGGGATGAGCTAATCGCGTTGGTCTGAGAGAGCTTTTGCAGTATGATTCGGATTTAGATGGAGAGCGAAGATTATTTTCTTTGCATTTTTTCTGTTCGTCTTCTTACAGTTAATATTTTATTTAAATAAGAAGTGATCCACAACAAATATTTTTAAAGTAGGTCTTTGAAAATTTTCATGTATATCGAGCGTACATTAAAAATCCGAAAAACAGGATAAAAACATCATTTTAGGATTCACCCAGTATATACTAAATTTAGCTCAATTATTGCAACAATATGGACAATTGACTTTTACTTTCCTATTTGTATACAGATAAGGAAAGTATAGGAATCATGATTTTTTCGATCTCGAGTTTTTAACGGATTTTTACGTTTTCGGGTCCCCTGAATCCGTTTGACTATTTTCGCGATGATGTCTGTGTGTGTATCCACGATAACTCATGAACGGATACAAATAAAAACACCAAATTTTAAACCTAAGCTTTATTCCAGCCTGCGGTGAACTGATTAGATTTTGGACAGAGTCGGAAAATCTAACGGGGTACTTTATAGGGGGTCATTTTTATATTTTATAAAATAAATCTGTTATTTACGTTTGGAGAAGAAAATTCTTCAAATAAAAGTTACTTCTTATATTATTCTCTATTATTTTTGTTCTATACAAAATTTTCCTAAAATGGTCCGTATTCGAGAAATTTGACAAAATATAAAAAAAATCTAATTTTTAGGAAAATTGTTCAAATAAAAGTTGTTTGTGATATAATTCTCTATAATTTTCCTCTCATAAATAATTTCTCTAAAATGGACCGTATTCGAGATATTTGAGAAAAAGTGTAAATTTCGAATTTTGAAGAAAACTCAAAAACGGATAAAGAAAAAACCTTAAATTTTAAACTTATGCTTTATTCCGACCTGAGGTAAACTGATTAGATTTTGGACAGCGTCAGAACATCTGGGGGGGTACTTTATAGGGGGTCATTTTTATATTTTATGAAATATATCTGTTATTTACGTTTGGAGAAGAAAATTCTTTAAAAAAAGTTACTTCTAATATTATTCTCTATAATTTTTGTTCCGTATTCGAGAAATTTTTTAAAATGTAAAAAATTCTGATTTTTAAGAAAATTTTTGAACTGCGATATCGATATCTATAATTTTTGTTTTTTAAATGAGTTCTCTAAAATGGAATGTAATGGAAAAATTGGAGGAAAAGTATAAAATTTAAATGTTTCAGCATTTTCGTTGGCAATGAGTGTATATAGAAAAATGTTTCGAGTTAGATGTATGTAGAAAATGTATATATTTAGTTAACCTCTAAATATTTACAGAGGTGCTACAATAGGTTGTACAAAATAACCGAAAAAAGCCTGTAATAAATAGATAGGAAATGCATGTGTTGGAAACATCAGATTTGTCTTTTATTAATCTAAGATACCCTGTGTATAAAACTGCAATGTATTTGTGAATACAATAATGACAGAAATTAAATCCCTTCAGACTTGTCTACCATATGTAAAGTTTGGCTAGTCACTCACAAAACACCCTATATAATGAGAATGAGGTTGACGGTTTGATCTTAAACTAGTAATCTTGACTACAGGGGGGTTATTTTCTAACTCGAGAGAAAGTGAATTCTCTCAAGATTTTCATGAGAAGTATACGTCAACGTTAAACAGTATTTTTAGGGCCCTTAATTAGGGCCAGTATGAACTCACTGATTGTTTCTCTCGGTTTATTTAGAGATAATTAAAATTCTCCTAAGAATTTTAATCCTCGATGCCTTTAAAATCAGCGTTTCCACATTGACGTTTGACATTTCCAATGAGAATCTTGAGAGAAATGAGTGCTCCCATACTTTGAAAATAGCCTCCCAGGTATTACACCACTGCACCAAACCTGTCATATGAAGTACGTTTCGCTAACAAGCTCAGCATCGTCAGGAGACGATTGTTAACTTGGAAATAAACCAAAGGTTCCGTACTCCTAATTTGGTTCTAATTTTTATTATCACACATCTTTTTATTATCTTTTTATTTGTATTACTTTTTATGGTTATATTATGAAGAGATAATGTTTATTGTTTTTTGTATGAATCTATATTCTACAATTATTTTTTATTACTATAGGTTGGGTACACTAGTGTTGAAATATTTTTGATTAATATTGATAATATTCATTTACAAAATAAAAAATGACTTTTTATATTACGCTGTTCATGAGAATTATTACAATTTTAAAGTTTATTAGATATTGTAAAACTGTGACAAATCTATTAATATAACTCCTCAATTTATATGATAGATATACATATACCTAAACCACAACTAAATAAAACACGAAAGATATGATTGCAAGATAAAGAAAATAACCAATAACATAAATAAAATAGAACTAAAATAACGTAAACATTTATGGGAATTTGTATCGATTACAGATAGATACATTTTCATTAAAAACTTGAAACTTAATATCTGCCACGAATTATTCTGGCATTTCGATCAAAAAATATGAATGCTTCTCGCCAATATTTTTCTGAGAAAGTATCCCTCCTATAAAATAACTTATGTACATACCATCAGAAATGAAAACGGTAATTAGTTTAGCATTATAAATATAAAGTACTTATTAATTTTTAGTCGGCCCCTTGTAATTGCCCTACATAAATGTATTAAGCTTTACCCTCGTATCTACCAAAATATTTTACCTGAAAGAACAAGGTTGCAAAAAATACGAGCCAGCCATATCCTCCGTCGGGTATATTGGGCCCAAGTTCGGGTTGGGTGGAAACGACACTGTCTATTGTAAGTTCTTGGTTCCGAATTGACCTCGTTTTACCGAAGTACATTTTTCACTTGGAATAGTTTGAATATTGGATAAACAGCACTTTTCAACGAACACCTTACTACATATTATTTCAATAGAATACATCCACCTAAATAAAGCAGGTGAATCACTCTATGCATAGGACTATAGTTCCATATCTGTGTTTTATCTTATCTTTTTTGGTGAGTACACAATTAAAATGAAGATGAATGTATTTCTATAACTTCACATTTTTTTCTAAATTAGGCTAGCGAGTTTACAGACAAGTTTTATAGTTCTACCTGAACAAGCCGTTCAAGGTCTTAACTAAATTTCTTTTTATTTTGTTACCTACTGAAAACAGTACGTATTTTTATTGACTGACGAATTTGTTATTCAACAGGTACCACAAGGTATATAAGTTTTTAGCACTGTTTATAGATTGAACTCAACAAGGCGTGACGTAAAATGTTTACCTATCTATGACTACACAGTCTGGGTATATAGTTCATCAGTGAACGTAGGTATATCTGCTGATATTATATAATTTTTACAAGGTATAGTCATTAATTTAGCCATTTTTGCAAAATAATTGTTTGGCAATAAAAGGGTCGAGGGTCGATGTTGGATGTTTACACGATTTCGAAATAAAATTTTACAATAACATTTCTAAATTTACGGTAGATATCCAGCTCATTTGGTGAAACTAGAAATAATACAAAATTCTTATTATAAATGTAGGGGTAATAGATACCTACATATCGGCAGGAATATCCAAAGTCGCGAGATGTGCCAACGATCGCGTTTTTTTTTACACCCTTTCGGACATCCCTCTCGACCGGAACCTTTCAGGAGCAGCCTGAGAGTTTCCAGCAGATTCCCCCAATCATGCTTGGGTACAGCCACTGGCTCCCCTCAATCAGGCTTGGGGTCCAGCTTGACTTTCCTCCTGAGGTTCGCATGGCGGCACTGACGCTCAGGTACCCTATTCTCGAACTCATGAGAGTGCTCCTACACTCTCCTACTCGACTTCTTAATCATCAGTGTTGCCAGACGACCAAAATAAAATTGTTGTACAATGCTGTAGAAATTATCTTTTTTTTTTTTATAATTTTACCGTACAAAACTGACCTTACTAGTATGACGTTATCGGATGCTGATTAATTTAAGAGTTTATGGGGTTAGGGTGATTTGATAATAATTTTATTGAGTACACAATATAAAAAAACAAAAGTAACACTTAACCAACCTCTTCCTGTTCAACTAAAGTTTCAAAAATAATTTCTTCTTGTAATCCTTTCTGATTTCGATTTTTTCATGATATGAAATCACTTATGATTTATTATTTTTATAGAGAAAAGCAAATCATCTCTATCTGCCATACTATCTGCTCTTGTTCCGCGCTGATAACCTAACTGCTAAAATGCGGTGCTTATTGTTTTATATTAGGCGTAGCCGTGCTTTTACAGTGAACATGTGGCAACTACGATATCCCCGCTATCGCTATACTCTCTGGTTTTTGTCAATGACATTCGTTTCGGCTAATATCCCACCACCATATCTTCTTTTTTCTAGTCGACGATTGGCCGTTGCCCTGTTGTCATTTTATTAACTTATATACTAGTCGTATGTCCAACACGAAAAAATAACTCCTGCATATCCAGAATTGTAATTCTTTATACGTAGGTACATACTCGTATAACATAATTTATTTAAATTATCACCAACATTTTACCTTTTAGACCGTCAAATAGTGACAGGTTTAGTGCCCCATTTCGCATACAAGCCTCGAAGAGGGTTGAAAAGTATATCGATTTTAAGTAGAATGAAAGGAAATTTACGAGTGGCTCCTGGGTATAACACATGCAAAATTTTCTTTTATTCTACTCAAAATCGATGTACTTTTCAGCTCTCTTCGAGGTTTGTATGCGAAAATGGGACACCTAAATCGGTCACTATCTGACGGTATATTATGTCTAAACTAAATCTACATTTAAAATAATTAGAAATGGTACGCAGTTTTTTCTAACTTGTACCATCCTTTTGATTATATTCTACGCCATAGTTGCGCTTTATTTGGAGCTTTATACCCATTATTTTATGCGAAGCAACCCGCGATGGCAGTGATGGCACCGGTTAGGTAAATTAGTTAAGTTTTTTTTTTATTTAATATTAATAAATAATAAAAAAGCACTGTTGTCGCTATCAGGCATTCCAACGACCTTTCAAACTGCTGACAAGTGGGAACTGACATTTAGATATGGCAAATCTGTGAGCCTGTTGTCATTGACAGGGTCAATGATACATATATCGTTATATAGACTGCTCAAAGCGGGTCGTTTACGAGCGGCCATATTGTCTCGCAAGTGCTTATTAATCAGAATCAATTTTGCAAAAATGTGTTTACAGGCCAATATTTAGCCTTTGAATATAGAAAAAAAAAATAATTGCCTACATTTTTACTTCAAGGCATAAGCTTATGTTTATTTTGAAAATGTGGATGATCAATCTATGTAACTATCTATTTCATTGACCTTGTCAAATCACCAGGCCTACATGGTTGCCATAAATTTGCCATATCATAACCTGTCAACACCCACTGGTAGCCATTTTGTTTGGAATGCTTAATTTGGTGCTAATGTGTTCAACGATATTTTTTCCATTCGCTATTTTCTCTACGTGTTTTTGTCACTGCGCTGTTTCGTCTTCCGCATTTTTGTTACAAAAATTACGAAATTAAAATTAGGAAGCCACTTTGTACTATTGAGTGTGTTCTTTCAATTTGTGTTTTTTCCTGTTCAACAATCTTAAAAAAACGAATTTAATTAAATTAATGTTTTTCTTTTTTTCAATTGACGCTTCGGCAAATTAAAACGTCAAAAAATCACTTTGGTTAATCCAGGCAATAAAAATGATTTCTATCATTGATTGCTATCCGAATGTATAGTGCACTCCCATAATAGAGATTGCGCGCGAGGTAAAAATTCAGAATTGATAATGATTCGGGCATGCGCTTAAAGTATGAATTAGTAATTCTGAATCTGTTCAGCATTGTAACCGCGAACGAAGCTAAAATAATGAGCCCTAAGAATTTTAAGGTTTGCGGGGATATTCCGTAGGCAATACTTTCGTGGCCACCCGGTACAATATACCTAAGCTAAGTTATTTATTACAAAATTACAATAATTACATTCTAAACCACAAACAACCAGTGGCGGTTTGCCCGTAAGGGCACTTGGGCACGTGCACAAAAAAAATAACTTACATATTTTATATTTTCCTCAATGCCTATTGTTATTTTATCTAATATTCAGCGCAAACCGCGTTGGCACGGCACTGTACGACCGGGCGTTCAGCGACGTTCCGAGAATTCCGAAATTAAGTGGAAGATGGACACAGTAAATGTGTGCATCTGTTGTTTTCTCTCTCATTATGATGCGAAAAAAAAGGACAACGACAATATAGCTTAGCAAGAGATGAACACATGCGATGGATTATACGTCACAAGAGGGGCGCTGTCCTTATCGTGACGTGCTGTACCCATGGCACAGATTACCTAGACCAGATACGAATGCATCGTTACCGAAAAATAACTTTTTTTCTTATAAAGCAGTCAAAAATAAATAATTTAATGGTGTACATTTTCGCAAATTGTTGGCAAGGATCATAGAAATAGTATAGAAAGCCGATTCCATATATCAAAAATGAAACCATAAGGAGAAAATAGTGTGTCGGAGCTCATGCGTATAACGGTGCTGGCGCGAACAGGACCGGTGCAAGTTTTTTATTGATCGAACAAATAGTTCACACATTTCAATCATACATTTTTAGAGATGATTCTATACAAAAAACGATTAAAAAAATTTCAAGTTAAGGTAAATATGGTTCTGACAGTCCTTATTAAGAAAGATATGGCATAAAATATGTATTAGTTAATTTTCGGCAATCATTAGTACAGTAGTCATGAGATTTTGCTTGTGATTTTAAAAATACTTTCCAGAAAAACCACGTGCTCCGGTTTTGACTACGTTTATTATTAAACAGCGAAATTATATACAAAAACTTTAATCCACAATCTAAATTAGGTACTATCACAAGAAAATCACTGTTACAATAATTAATTACTTAACCAAAAACTAAAATACTTTTTAGGTACCTACGTAACCAGAAAGGAGCTGGACCATTTATCCTAATATTGATTTTCTCTCTCCCTACGGTAAAACTTAAAACAATAACAAATTGCCTATCTACTAGGGTCGGTAACTAAACGAATATACATAATGGGCGGATTTTGTTTATACTTAACATTACACTCGCGCATTTAAATATAATTATGCATATAAATATTTACAAACAAAGATACTTTTCCAAACAGGCAATCATTAGTACTGTAGTCACGAGGTTTTGCTTGTGATTTGACATCTTATTTGATAATATCATTTGCAACAACTAAATTTAATCTGGGGAGTGCAAAATAGGGCCCAGGAATATTATATTCGATATTTTTTTACATTTTGTCAGCCGAGACTATGAGTCGTTAGACAGAAAACCTTTCATGTTACCATTTTCAATATAAATTAAAAAATTAAAAAATACTACTACATTTACTTGGTACATATTTTATTTTAATTTTGAACCCTTTTAAAAGGGTCTTTCGGTTCCATAATAAAAATTAGTTGCTGCTTACTAGAAACATTCTATATAGCCTAAACCAATTTATAGTTTGTTTTCGATCAATTTAATACAAAGATTTAAAGTTTTTAGTCGATGATAACATTCCACACCAGCACATTGCAAACCTATTTTATAAATAATAGGAATAAACTTGTAAATCATTAATTTGGTAGTTATCTCACTCATATGATTTTTTTGTTTATATGACTATTTCGATTTCTAAATATATTTTGGCCTTACAATACGAAGCGTTTTGTATCTACCACTTTTTTAATGAACGATGAATGTTGACAGGCCTGTACCTTTTTCGGAACAAGAGGCGTTTTAACGAAGGAAATGATTTTCGAACTATCTAGTTAATTTTCGGAAAAATAGAAAACGTTTGAAGAAAGTTGTCAATAACAGTTTGTTGTTCATGTGTTTCATTTTGATTAGCTTTCATACTAAATTGCGTAGAATATTTTTCCGATTCAAAATCGAGATTCTCGATATTTCCACAGTTTATTTATAATACCTTCTAAACTGGATTTATCTATCATTTTATATACTTTATAATATATGTTCATGCCCTACTTTTCACTTTATTTTCAATTTTTTTTTAACATACTTCAAAATGGTAGGATATTCTCAATTCGTTGAAATATTTTTTTAAGTACGTTGAGCGATAATTCTTTACCACGTTGCCCGATTTCTAGGATTCTTTTTGTTAGAAAAGGAAACAGTTTTATATACATTAAGTCAAGATCTGAAGATGGGATCCATAAGAAAATCATTAACATCTTTATTTTTAAAGTAGGTTTTTTTTTGTAAATTTCTTTAAACCTTACTGGTTCGAACGCGGTAAGGAATGAAGAAATGTAAATAATTGTTGTGCCAGCCAAAAAGCGAAGAGGAAGTACCGATTAAAATATCGAGTGACAGAAGAGTTCCTAAGATTGTTGAGATCGGGTTTATGTTTTAAAATGCCTTAAAACCGATATCGATAATGTCTCCCCGTCGCTGGGCAGCCTGTATATAAATATACAGCTCTCTATTTACATAATTATAATTCTTAGGTAGGTTTAGATTTGCAGACATAAATCTTGTAATAAATATAACAGCTGCCTAATACATTGCTTACATTTTCATTAGCCAATGTAAAAATGTCTTTTATTGTACCTAGGATTTGACTAAACACTACACAAAACTAAAAATAAAATGCCACTTTCATCATGTAATTAATGCCGCGTTTGAGAATCCACATCGGATGCATTTTTTACATCTCGAGCGTTTTTTATCCACATCGGACACATCTGTCCCATTACGTTTACGTATACTGAATCACGTGATCAAAGATTTACTACTACTACATCTCAGATGCATCCGATGTGGATTCTCAAACGCGGCATAAATAATAAACTACAAACGGTCCTGTAAGGGCAGCGTCATATAGCCTTGAAACACCGGATTTTAGTGCTATTGCCAGGTCAATATTGAATTTGTAGGTGAATCGCTTATTGAACATTAAAAATACGGTATTAATGACATTAATACGGTATTTGTATATATTTTTGGGAATGTAATTACACATAAATATTATTAGTTGATTATTTAAATGTTTATAAGTTATTTTGTGGCGATATTTCGTAGATATAAACTGTTTAAATCATATAATTTAAAAATTAATTAATTTAAAATTCTTTTCTGTTAGGTATATTTAATATATTTGGCAACACTACAGGGACAAGTCATGCATATTGCGCAAGCTTCTAGACACACTATTTTGCGATGTCAGGCGCAGAGACGCGTTTTTATGCACAGTAGGTTTCAATTTCTGCTTAAATGTTATGTTTATATTGGTCTTCTATATTATTTCTATGGCAAGGATGACCAAATTCTATTTTGCTCATCTCAAAAAGGTATGCGTTGGCAATTCCAGGCTTAGTTGACAAACTATCAAATAGAGATATAAATATTTTTTCTAATTTGAAAATATAAAAGAGAAATTTTTCGCTGGAAGATTTTAAATTGCTAAACACCTTTTCTTCAGAGTTGTATGCTTTAAAATGCTCCTACACGACGGAATTTTACATCGAAGTGTTTCAATACTATTTATGTTTATAAAGAGGATTTGATTAATAATAATAATAATAACGTTTATTCAGTAAGCCAATGGTATAAAACATAACAGCATTATAATGTAGCGGATATCAAGAATATAATAATAATAATAATAATGAAAAAGGAAAATGAATAATACAATAGAAACCTACCAAAATATGAACTTACTGAAAAGGACATATTCATCGTCAATCATACAAGATGAAAGAAGATGGTTTTCAATATATCCTGATGTAAAAAGCACAAAAAAAAAAGAATTATAACAAAGATTATAATAGTAAATCCCACAAAAAAGAGACAAACAAAATTATTAATTAAATAATAATAACTAACATCAATATCTAATTATAGTACCTATCTAACAATAATAATAATACTACAATAATTATTAATTGATGCGAAGCATCAATGAAAATATTTTTGATAAATCTTAAATTTTAAATGATACTTCCATGTCACCATTTAATATATAACATTTTATTTTACGCTTTAATGCACTTACAGATAAGTTTTTAAGTTCAGGGGGGAGAGAATTGATCGTTTTATAAAATATGTAAGTAAGTAATGTGATTAAATGCCTCGAAGAAATTATGAACACAGAATTCGATAAAAAAAACTATTAATCAGACTAAAGGGTTGATAAATTTTGAAAGACAGATTTTAAAGACTACCGAGGTTGTTTTCCAAATGAGGACGTTAAAACTGTGTGTAGTTTATTTCCAAACGTAAACAGATTAAAATTCAAAAACGAACTGTCCATACTTTACACCCGAGATGACTTTGTGCAACACAATGGGGCCGTACCGTTATTACAAATGTTTTTTAGAACAATTTGACAATTACATTTTCGAAATCTGTGGAGCTGCTAACTATCCTGTGTACAATTCCCATGACCACAGTGGAGAGTGAAAGATGTTTTTCGACACTAAAACATATTAAAACATTTTTAAGGAACACTATGTGCCAAGATAGATTGTGCGCGTTAGCCATGTTATCCATCGAAAAAAACTTATTCGGTCCATTCCAAAATTTAATAATCTGGTCATCGATCACTTCGCTAGCCAAAAATCCAGAAGAATGGACTTCAACTATAAGAAATAGTATACAACTGCAGCGGTACCTAGCAGTTAGTCTTCAATTTTGTAATATTTAATTTGTTTTGAAATATATTTAATTTTCATTAAGCGGAGAACTTGTTTTCCTAAGGGAAAAACAAATCCCGGGATTCCTTTCCAGTGTGTGCCCCACTGCCGCTAGAGCTCACGAGCCGCCACTGCAAACAACTTCAACTTTTGTCCTCATTTTGTATGAAATACTTTTATTTTAAAAATAATGATTTAGTATCCTGCCATAAAATGATTGAAAAGTTATTAATATTTGTTTACTTCCGTTGTTTACTTCCGGAGTTAGTCGATCCAAGGTTTCCTAGATGATTATAAATTAGGGTGACCATTTCGTTGTATTGTACAGCATTTTGAAGGTATGTCCTGTATTTGATCATATACAGCAAACGTACAGCAACACGTCGTTATTGTCCAGCAAACATCTAAAAAAAATCTCACTCTGCTGAAAGTATAATGTATATCATAAAATTGTTTTTTTTTTGTATGTTTCTGAACTTTCTACTTGAATTTTTCCATATTCATGACAATGATAAAAGTGGCCCACAAAAATATTTCTAAACAGGTAGGCATTCGAAAGCGTGATTTGTTGGTCTAAAAAATAGCGAGCTAAGCACCTGCTAGCGATGCCCAACTTTCTGATCGCTTCTTTAAAAATTGTCTTTTAAAACATAAATTATTTAGTCTTACTAGGTACTGTCAATCTAAACAAACTTAAACAAGTATTAGAAATTAAAAATTTAAAAAAACCGAATTCAAAAACGTGCAGATGCCGTCACCACATCTTAACCAAATTTATATGGGACCACCCCTGAGGTACCCCCTTACTAACAAAAAAGAATCATATAAATCGGACAAGGTGGTAAAGCATTATCGCTAAACATACATAAAAAATGAAGAGGATTTTCTCATGGACCCAATTATTAGATTTTGACCAAATTTATATGGGACCACCCCTGAAGTACCCCATTTCTAACAAAAAAAGAATCATTGAAATCGGACACCATGTTAAAGAATTATCGCTGAACATACATTAAAAAAATATATTGCGACGAATTGAGAACCTTCTCCTTTTTTGAAGTCGATTAATAATTCTAAATATTTGTTCCATTTTAAGTAAAAAATATGTAATATAAAGGGCGCGAAAACAGTATAGGTATTTAGTCGTTGCGTGAAACGGTGCGCGAAGAAGAGAAAAATATACCACTGTATAATGGTAATTACAGATTAGTGACGTATTCTTATTTATAACGTACTTATAAGTAAATACAATTTGAAGGAATTAGTATGATCACAATACTAAATAAAACGGAGACTCGAACCACTAAGTCACCTTCCTATTATCTGATTTCTATCCATGTTTTTATTGCTTAGATACATTTTTAAAATTCCCGCAGTTAAAAATGCTAAAGACGTTGGCACTACAATCTGGATTTTAGTGTTTTCTGTTCACAGTTTCGCCAACAGTAGGGAATTTTCCCTAGATATTATATTGTTAACGGAATTTCGCAATTTAAAGGAAAGTTTTTTCAATAAAAATTATAATAGAGAATTACGGAATTATATAATTGTATCTAATATCGAAAAAAAATATTTTACTCGTTTTTTTTTGTAATTCCTACCTAATATACTTTTCATTGGGTATGTTTTTTATTAAGAATTTATAAGAATATGTTTATTTATTACCTTCGTTCTTTTTTTATTAAAAACTCCACAAATTGAGTTATTTCTAAGTTATTAAAAATATTTTTTTCCCGTTATTTTTAAAATTCCGTTACAATGGTAACTTTAATGAGAATAGGTTGGTCACACTGTTTGTTTATATTCCTATGCAAGTGATCTGTGGCCATGCCTCGTGCACTGCAAACAAGAAGAAGCAAGCGAGAGAGCGAAAGCTGAACGATTACGAACGCCATTTTCATTTTATGGCTTGATTTAAGTGAAGGTAGGTATTTTTTTAGTTAATTTTGGAAACTTATTATAGGTAAAGTATAATTAATTACAGCTTTTATTTTATTCGAAGTTTACCAAAAGAAAAATTGTAATTTGAAACTTTTATGACAAATGCAAATGTATTTTTATTTTAACATGAAAAGATATATATATTTTTTACAATAATTATCTAGGCATATTCTGAATTCTCTTATGTTTAACGACTCAAAGACAATTTTTTAAAAGTTTTGCTATAAATTATTATAAATTTTGGGAATTTTAGTTTAAACTCTTTTTCTTTTAATGTTGGTTTGTTTCAATTTGATGCTTTTTACAAGTTTTGGGTTGCTAGAACTTAATATTGTTTATCAACTATTCATAATATACAATTATTTGTTAACTTTTATATTAAGAAATAATTGAGAGACTGGCTTCAGATAGCAAGACAGTTTTTGGAAAAATTTTCCATAAGATCTGCTTATGTATCTTCTATTGCATCGGAAATACCCACGTTTCCAAGTATTAATCGGTTTACGTTATTTGTTACACTTTACTCAAGGCTTAATTGTGAAATTTAATAATAGTACCTACCTACTTGCAAAATATTTAAAAAGCACTCTTGCACACATTGTTAGTATAAGAACTTTTATACAATGATAAGAAAATATGCGTTTTCCAATTTGTGATCTTATTCCCAAAACCTATTAAAACCTTCAGTCGATTTATAATTGAAGATATGGATCCTTAGTTTTTGAGTGAAGTTCTTTGGTAAAGTCATGAAATATTTGTGTTTGATACAATTAATTTAGTAATCCCATTACTATTTTACTGAATGCAGTAAGAATATTAGTATAGTCCTTTTTATAATTCAAGAGATCATGATCAACAGTATCAAAGGCTTTGATAAAGTCATACAATAATTCTAATGTATTTACCGAGGAGTAAACCACTACAAATTTTCTGAAATCGAAAATCATGGTTGAAATCATCATCGAAATCAATTCGTCACTCAAAAAACGTAAATACAGCAGCTTGCGAATCAAAAGTCAAGGGATGAGCCCCCCTCCTCAAAAAAAGGTAATATAAAATTAGGGTGGAGTTTCAGCGAAATCATTTTTTAGGTGATTTCTGAAATACCAATACTTTGACCTTAGTAGTTTCCCCCTCGGTATTTACTGATATATCATCTGGGAATTTGATAATCAACAATTTTGCACGTAGCCAGGCCATGTAAAGGCATTACAAATGGATATTGCTTTTATTTGCTTGCCATTTTCAAAATTTACCAAATTATAATGAAGATTTACATCTCATTGACAAAGCAAATAACAAAAAGAAAAAAATTAATTTAAAATATATGAGAAATAGATATACATAAGTACTGCCCTTGCTAAGCATAACAGTCAAATCTTTCTTTTTTGCTGTATTGGAAATAATATAAAACATTTGTTTCTGGTACATCATATTTTAAAAATGAAGTCACCTGTAGCAAAAATACATGTTTTACATTCCATGGTTATCCTTATGTTTACAAACTTGACTGTATTTTAAACATTGCCCTATCTGAAATATTTAGCATTATTAGTTGTATTGTTAGATATGACTTTTATACTTAGAAGGGCAAAGTAATACATAGATAACATTGAAAACAATGCTAAAATAAAATAATGATAAAACAGAAAACAATGATAAATACCTGTATTTGTTCAAAATGATAATCAGTAATAACAATTAATAATAATAGTCACAACTATGTTAGTCATATTTTATTAATTAATTTTACTCAAGACTGCCCTCAAAAAAACCAAATAATATACTTTTCCTATAAGAAAATTTTTACTTCCCATCTGGATTTACATGTATTTTGAATTATTTTTAGACTTAAAGGTAGAAGATTATGAACGTTTTAAATTTTTGAGTAGGGTGGAAAGTGGAATATGATAAGTGCATCTTGTGCCATGAGAATTTGGGCTGATATGTTGTATTATATTTTTTGTGCATGACCAATGACATTTCCAAAATATAAGTGCTGACCAATGTTAACATTTTATTATTTAGAAATAAAGGTTTTCATGAAATATCCAAGTTCACATCACACAAAAATCTAAGAGCCCTTTTTGTATCATTTTTTTTTTAAGTTTCTGGTTGCAGAATACATATTGCATACCTTAAATAGGCCACATTATACATCATTATTTGACTAGTGACATGGGGATTTTTATACCATTTGGTAATCAAGTATGTAATTTAGAAAAAAAAAAAAATGCATAACAGGGCAACACAAACTACAACAGGTACATAGTCATATTATTCAACACCTAAAAGTACCCATAACCATAGAAAGCTACAGTGGATAAAGGGATTTTTGCTTATTACATTAATGTGTTATCGACATTGTCATTTTGTCAAGTGAACAGCCTAAAGTAATGTGATTCTACTGGTAAAAAATAAACACCTGTAGTCATTTAAAAGTTTTTTTTTAGGCTTCCCAGTTTTCATTACTTCTATTAGTTAAATATTTTTTGTACAAATTATCTCTGTCCAACAAAGCATTTTTATGATATCATTCCACCACTCTATAAATTGGAAATATCTTAACCATTTTATTTAGTATTTGTATAAAATTATCAGTAAAATGCTGATATTTTACATCAATGTCAGTTTCCCAGTAGTTCCAGTTAATCATTTGAAGCTTATTACAGATAGCCTCGTAATTAATATAACGCTCCACATTCTGGATAATTACAGGTTCTAATTTACTTTTTAAATTCGCTATTTTTACAGTTATGATGTAATGGGAGCTAATTTTAGGGGTTTTTAAAACTTTTGGACTAAATCTATCACAATTTGTAATTACTAGATCAATAAGACTAATTATTTGTTGGATGAGTATAGTCAGTTACAATATTTTCGAAACCAATATCAATCATAAAATTTTTTAAACGCACACTAAATAAAATTTATTAAAACATCTATATTAAAATCCCCACTTAAAATTACGTTAAGCTTAGTATCACATATATTTTCATAGCACCAAAGTTCAAAAAAATTTAAAAACAACATAACTGCCATTTGGAGATCTATATAAAGAAATGACTAAGAATATTTTCAAAACATTTAGTAATATTTTAATTATTGTATTGTAACACATATATGGCAGTTCCCTCTGTATGACGGCTATCACTGTCTACCCGATATACTTTATACCCATTGATATTGAACTCACTGTCATATATCTTCAGTTAAATGCGACAAACTTACAATGGTTTTTTTATTTAGGACTAGGATTATTAATTTCATTAATGTGAGCAAATAAACTTTGTGAATTTAAATATACCAAAAATAAGTTATATGTAGCCTTTTGCATTATGGTTCTATTATTATTGAAGGAACTTTGTCTAAAAAATCATTACATTTATCAGTTTTATCATCACCGTTTATACAATTATTATTTACAAGTATTATTTTGTGTAAAATCTATATCATCTGATATATTAATAACTGCAGGCTCTTCTAATTCAGTTTTTAACTGGCTATTTTTACTTTCCTATCTGTATACAGATATAAGGAAAGTATAGGAATCATGATTTTTTTCGACCTCGAGTTTTTGACGGATTTTTACGTTTTGAGGTCCCCTGAATCCGTTTTGACTATTTTCGCGATGATGTGTGTGTGTGTGTGTGTGTGTGTGTGTGTGTGTGTGTGTGTGTGTGTGTGTGTGTGTGTGTGTGTGTGTGTGTGTGTGTGTGTGTGTGTGTGTGTGTGTGTGTGTGTGTGTGTGTGTGTGTGTGTGTGTGTGTGTGTGTGTGTGTGTGTGTGTGTGTGTGTGTGTGTGTGTGTGTGTGTGTGTGTGTGTGTGTGTGTGTGTGTGTCTGTGTGTGTCTGTATAACGCATAACTCATGAACCGATACACATAAAAACACCAAATTTTAAACTTAAGCTTTGTTTCAGCGTCCAATGAGCTGATTAGATTTTGGGCAGAGTCGGAACATCTGGGGGGGTACTTTATAGGTGGTCATTTTTATATTTTATAGAATATATTCGTTATTTACGTTTGGAGAAGAAAATTCTTCAAATAAAAGTTACTTACAATATTATTATCTATAATTTTTGTTCTATATAAAATTTTCCTAAAATGGTCCGTATTCGAGAAATTTGACAAAATGTAAAAAAAATAATTTTTTATAAAAATTGTTCAAATAAAAGTTGTTTGTAATATAATTCTCTATAATTTTTATTCTATACATAATTTCTCTAAAATGGACCGTATTCGAGATATTTGAGAAAATGTGTAAATTTCGAATTTTGAAGAAAACTCAAAAACGGATATAGAAAAAAACATTAAATTTTAAACTTAAGGTTTATTTCGGCCTGACGTGAAATGATTAGATTTTGGACAAAGTCGGAACATCTGGGGGGGTACTTTATGGGAGGCCGTTTTTATATTTTATGGAATAAATCTGTTATTTATGTTTGGAGAAGAAAATTGTTCAAATAAAAGTTACTTCTAATATTATTATCTATAATTTTTGCTTTATGTCAAAATTTCCTGAAATGGTCCGTATTCGAGAAATTTGACAAAATGTGCAAAATTCTGATTTTTATGAAAATTGTTAAACTAAAAGTTGTTTGCGATATCGATCTCTATAATTTTTGTTTATACATGATTTTTCTAAAATGGACCGTAATGAAAAAGAGCTAAATTTAAATTTTTCAGTATTTTCGTTTTCAATGAATATCTATAGAAAAATGTTTCGAGGTAGATGTATGTGGACAATGTATATATTTAGTTTATCCTCTAAATATTTATAGAGATGCTGCAATAGGTTGTACAAAATAACCGGAAAAAGCCTATAATAACTAGATAGGAAAGTCATGTGTTGGACACATCAGATTTTTATTATTATTCAGTTGTAGAGCTAAATCATTGTTATTTGAGCAGTGATTATTTCTTTTTTTTTTGTTGTATTCTCGATAAAATTTTCTCACAAATATTAGTTTTATATATTAAATTACCCTTGTTATTTACTACATCTAATATTCTCACCTTACCTTCTGAAAAATGGATCAATCTTGCAAATGTAGCTATTTAGTTTCTTATTAAATTTTTCAACAATGTATTTAATACGAGTGACCATCAGAAGGAACAGTGCTGTAAAGTATATTTGTATGTGTGCAGTTTTTTAGTCTATCATTCAAAAACTTAATTGATGGATATCTCCCATATTTAAAATTATTTTTTCCTGCGATAATTAAAACGTAATCATTTAATGTATAATTACAAGTCAAACTTAAAATATTCTCAATAACGTTTTCAAAAGTTGCACATGGTTTTATGATAGTTTTGTTTATGTTGTTTACACTGATTTGTTTTTAAGAACTCTGTTTAAGTTTTTACCCGTTTCATCACAAAGAATTATTATTTTGTTCCCGGTTTCCATTTTATTTAATACTTCCATCTCTTTTACATCATTGGTTTTGATTATTTTACTTTTCTCTATTTTTTCTTGATTTTTTTTAATGGTTATATTGTTGTTGGTTTTAAAGAAATATTTTTTACCTTTATTCTTAGTTTGTTAAGTTGTTCTTAGTACTGATTATTTTCCTCTTCTAATATTCTTATTGCATTGACCATATTTCTGCCCACACTGTCTAAATCTTTTAATTCTTGTTCCAAACATTTTATTTTGTTATTTTTATTCATTAATTTAGTTTCATGAGATAACATCCTTACTTGGGTTTCAATGATTTCCTTATTCAGCATTTTTATGGTATCACTTTGTTCTTTAATTTTTTGATAGTCTTTTTTTTTCTCCATTTCCATGGCTTCATCTTCAAAATCTTGTGTTTTTTTATTTAATCTTTCAATATGTATATCTTTGTCTTGTAATGTTTTTTTTTAGTTGATTGATATATAATTGTAGGTGTTCAATTTCTTCATTTTTGTCGTATTCCCTATTTTCCATTAAAATATCACATATGACTCTTTTTAGTTCAGTAATTTTTTGTATGCTTCATCAAGTTTTGACTTACCATTAACATGTTCATTTTCACATTTTTCTGAACAGTATATTTTACTATCACCTAGTTCTTTGAAGTATTTTTTTCGTTCTATACTTGAACGCTGGAATACATTGAAACGTACTGTACAGAAGTAGTTGTTCAGTTCCTTATTTTTACAACATTTAAAAAAAGCATCCATATTTAATGTTGAAAATATTGCATTTTACTTTATTTTATTTGTTTCCCTTAAAAATGTACTTCACTGGTTAATAACTACTTTTATTTTGTTTAGAAGAGATTAGTTTATCAGCAAACCAGTTTTTTATGGTGCTTTGTGAAGTATTTAGGTCTTATAATTTGCACAATTTTATAATCTTTTACTTTAATTTAAACTATTTTAGAAATTTAAAATTTCCACCAGAAATAACTAAACTTCCTCTATCTATCCTTTGATATAAATTTTAAAATTTTATAGTCTATAGAACTAGCGTTGAAAACTAATTTTTACACAGAGAAAACACACCAGAACTGATGGCGTCGTGCTCACAAAAAAATAATCGGGCTTATTTTTAATTTAGATGCCAGATCTACTTGCAGAGATCACTTTAAATTTTTATATTTAAAACTTTTTACATGAAACAAAATATTTCACAGTTTCCCCGTAACTTGAGACACCCACCATTATCCTATTAAAAGTGGAAACCAATTACGTATTCCAAAACATGCCTCAGATTTATATGAAAGAAATTTACATCAGTGTATGCCTATTCAATCATCTCCCCCTCTCAATTAAAAACATAGTGACCTATAGCTTATTTAAAATCAAACTAAAACAGTATCTAATAGAAAAATGTACATATAACGTTGAAGAATTTTTCGTGTAATTAATGTTTTCAATGTCCCACTACACTTTTTCTGTTCATACTTTTTATTTTTATGTGGTTTATTTGTATTTATTGTTATTATATATTGTGACATTTCCTATATCATGTAAATGATCTTTCAGGATAAATAAACTATCTTTGGCCTTATGTAAGTTGTGTACAGGTTGAGGATCATATCTTTGGAATGGTCTTTAAAAGCTCTTTTAATAAGGTAAATGCGACTGTTGGCTTTCTTCATTATATTAGCAATATGGATTTCCCATTTTATGTCTTTAGATATGATTACACCAAGATCCTTTTGTGTTTCGACTGGAGTTATTTCGTTCGTATCTATGGTGTACTGAATGTGGGGATTATTTGGGCCAATGTGCAATACTGTACACTTATTTATGTTGAGAGGTAGTAGCCATTGCTGGGACCAGATTCCTATTTTATTCAAGTCTCGTTTCTTTTTGTGAGAACCTTCCAGTGTCTTGCAGTAGATCTTTCAGTCATCTGCATAAAAGTTGACTTTGGACTCCATGATTAACTTATTAACTATAGACCAACAATCTTTTTGCTAACATATTCCGTTTGCCATTAAAATGTTTTTCATTTATTTATTTCATAGAGACAATTATTTTTTGCTGATTATACCTTTACACATGTAGTATGGCATAGCTATTTTGTTTCTTTTTGACTTATATTGGTAACTAAAGTTTTGTGGCTGGGCTGTGTCTCTCCATTGCACTTAGACCTCATTAGAACCATTGTAAATCCTCTAAGGGCAAAGTGACTTCCTCTCTTATCAACCAGTTATTGTGTCAAATTAGTTGAGATTATCCCTTAGAAGTGCCATTATTGTCTTAACCAATTTACTCCTAATAAACTTAAAAGTGTAAATTTTATAAGGGCTCTAATCCCATTAGAAATGTATCATGTCAATAACGTAACGCCTGTTTATGTGAGATATTTATTATGGCACTAATGTAGTTATGTGAAAGGCCGTTTGTAGTAATTGTAATATAATTTATGTGATAACGAAAAAAAAATATGGTAAACATTCAACTACCAAATTGAATGGCATAATGCAAATTCATATAAAACGTATATTTTGTAAATGCATATTTTATTAAAATGAATCATGGGTATGACAATAGACATTTCTCAAATGTATCAATTAAAATTTCTAAACCAAATAGTGAGTTATTTAAGAACAATGCATGTATTCATTCAAAATGGCCATTAATTTAGTTTAGGTAGCCTAGTTTTGTTGAAGGGATAAAATATATTCTCCTTCGCCTAGGTGCCAGAATTGAAATATAAATATGTACAATTATATGTCCAAAAATTGTTTTTACAAGAAGCTACCACAGATTGATGGGCTCAAAAGAAGTTGATTTAACCAAATTTACCTATATACCAACTTGCTTCGTTTGGTTGGTAGAGGTCAACAAACAATAAAAAAAAATTTTTCTTCAAAAATTCAGCCGTTTTAAGAGATCAAACTTGATGCGAATACTATGTGTTTTATGGCCAATTAAAAACAAAGTAACAATTTTTCTATTGCGATCATAAGCATCTCAGCGTGAGGGCAATGAATATTTTCCTTAATTTTTTTATCTGTCATTTTTTGACATTTCTGGCATTAAAATAGGAAACTACGGTGTTTTTACTAAAAAAAATTTATTCATGTTATAAAACTATTATTATATACATAACATGACTGTATTATAAGATTGTATTATTTATACTATCAATAAATTCTTTACAGATAATTTCTATCCAATATGGACGCCCGGGGAAGAGGAAGAGCCAGAGGGAGGGCTAGAGGAGGAACACAACAAGGTGAAGGAGGAGCTCCTGGAGGACAAGGACCTCCTGGAGGACAACGACCTCCACAGAGACCACAGGGTGCTCCAGGGGACCCATGGAGCAGACCTACAAGGCCACAACAGGCTCCACCTGCAGCTGCTCCACCACAAGCACCAACTCAGTGGGTTAGGCCACAAATGCCTGCTCCTGCAGCAGTAAGTTTTTACAAATGTTATTTTCTTTGAATAAACCCAAATGTAGATGTTATCATAATATATTTAAAGTTGCTTGAGAGTCACATGTTAAAAATCTGAAATCTGAACATCTTAGGGTAGCAAAACCTGTTTATTTAGTTAAATTTCATAGTAAAGTTAAATTAAGAAAAAGGGGAAAACCATAAAAGTGTAAAAAGCACCTTTTGAAAAATCTGATAAAAATTTTAAGTTTTAATTTCTTATTTTTAGGTGTTATAGCAATAAATTTTCAAAGAAATTAAATGATACTATTTATGAAGCTAAAGGACTTGTAGGGTTTTAGTATTATTTCAAATTATATGACAAAAACACAAAAATAAACATTCTATCTTGATATAATCTAATCATCATTTTTATTATTTCTCGTAATCCAGAATGTTACATGGTAACTGAAATGAAAACTCCTACAAGTGAAAGTCATGTTATAGTGACATGCAGTGATACAATAATATACAATGATAATCGTTCAGCATACCTTACAGTGTTCATGCTTCTTCCATGAAAGAACATATTTTAACTAAAATGACTATCTTAATTTAAAAAAATTCCTACTTTTGGACTCATAAGCTTTTTGAACTCTCTGATTTAATTCATTTAACTACTACTGAAGGTTTGTGGAATATAAAAGTCATATTATGGTGTCGTATTACAAGGGTGGACTTGAAAATTGTATTTGGTTTTATTTACCAAGTATGTAGGTGCTATCTTTTTTTTTTTTTTTTTAAACTAAAATTAGAGTTTGAAATAAAAAATAATCTTTGACTGAAAGACATCTGAATGATTTCCTGAATGGGGGTGCATTTACTGCAAGATAGAATGATTTGCATAGCCCTATTTTGAAATTTTTGGATTCTACTTAATTCATTTTGATTTAACAAGTATAATATTGATGAGCAATAAGTCAAATGTGGAAGCATCAATGTGTCGTACAAAACTGTTTTGGTCCACTGATCGAGGAATCTTGAAGTCCTATATAAATAATGTTAAAAGAGAAAGTTTTAATCATATAGTTGGCATGATCTTTAAAATTTAATGTGTGGTCAACAATATTTTTATCTACCTGTATATTTCCTGAAGAATTTAAATACTCTAGTCTAGTATTACCAATTGTCAAATAAAAAATGATGTAGCAAAAATGTATAACTATCGTCCCATAAGTATTGTTTCAATATTCATGAAATTTGATTCAAGCAATTTTTTAACCACTCCCAATATGCTTTTAGATGATCTCATTTTACTAGTCAGGCTGTGATCAATGCCCTGAGTAATGTAATGTAGTTGAGCAACTTGAAAAGGGAAATCACTAATGTTGGTCGATCTGTCCATGGCTTTCGACTGTGCCTCTCATGACGTTCTTCTGGAAAAGCTAAGCTTTTATGGAGTTAGGGGCTCCACTTGCTTTTTTAAATAAATACCTCGGTAACAGACAAGCTGTAATGAGTAATGGTGTTCTGTCTGATTTTCAGCCTGTTGGTCAAGGGGTTTCAGTAAGCTCTGTTCTGGGCCACCTTTTATTTATTTTTACCTAATCAGTTTTGTTTGCTGATGTCACAACATTCATTTTAACAGACAAAATTAATACAAACTTAACTTTTGCATGTGATGATATTTCACACAGAGCAAATACTAGCACTTTAATTAACTAACAAAACTCAAAATATGCAAATATCTGCCAATAATCAAATTATCTCATACTGCGAAACAAGAAACGTGAAATACATTGGTATTACGTTGGATAACAAACTGAATCAGCCAGCCCATATAAATCAGTTAAGGAAAAAACTTTCTAGTTATTTGTTTATTCTTCAGCAGTTGAAAAAACAATTCAAATGCCCTTAAAACTACGTTTTTCTCTTTATCACTTGCATGTCAGCTATGGTGTACCACTTTGGGGAAACTCCCCAATCAAATATTTCAGATGCAGAAAAAAGCAATTAGTATTGCAAACATACATACAGGGTGTTAAAAAAAAAGTGTCACAAAATGAAATGGTGAATAGTATGACCCAAAATAAGCAGAAAAGTCTTAATAAATATATGACCGCAAATTAACGGTTTCGGAGATACGGACCATTTTGTGTTTATAACAATTTTTTATTATTATAAAAAAACAATATTTATAAACAATCAATAACAACATAGAGTTAAATGAGATGTTCAAAGTGCCCTCCCTCCATTTCAATGCATTGCCATTTGCACGACCGTACATAAAATGCATGTCAGCTAATTCAATATTAGTGTAAACAGGCATAACGAAAATTTATAAAATTATTCACCCACAACAAAATAATAACTGCAAATAGTATCTATGAAAAAACATCGGTAGACTCCGATAAGAAAAGCAAGTTTTTGAGAATGAAAAAAGATAATCAAAAAATGATACAAAACACTCCGTATCTCTGAAACCATTCATTTGCGGACATATGTTTACTAAGACTTCTGCATATTTTGGCCCATACTACCCCCCGTTTTATTTTGTGACACTTTTTTTAACACCCTGTATATTTAGAATTATGCCACTACCTACTTTATATTTACATAATACACTTGTTGAAATTCATAGGAAACTAATGAGTTTTGCTGAAGCAGTCTGATATTTTCAACTACAAGATACGTATTTCTCATTGTATCAGAAATTATCGTTTTATGTTTATCTGAAATTAATTCGTTAAATTATGGTCTATTTAAATATCACTGTAGGACTTTAAAAATTTAAGTAATAGTGCTTAAAAAAAAGAGCATATGAGAAATATCTATTGAGATATTGTTTTTACTCTGTCAATGATTATGTAGCTCTCTAAGGCATCTCCACATTTACCACATTTTATTGCTTTTATTCAATAAATTTTAAGAGTTTCAGGAATAAAAAGATTGAATATGGGATGTATGACAGTTCCATCAATTTAAACGTTTAAAAAATATATTATGATCATTTTATGTAATGCACAATATTTAAGAAGTGCTTATAAAAAGTAAAACAAGAGCAATCATATGTATTTTTTTTTTTTTAGTCTGTTGGGAGAGGATCGAGATTAGGTGGTGGTGATGTTCCCGAGTTATCTTCTGCAGCAGAACTCGGAGGAGGTAATATTTATTTTTAGTACCAAGCATGGGAAGGGTCAGAAAATATAGGGCTACTACAAAAGAATAACCGACTTTTAAAAATATATTTCAGAAAGTATTACAAGTATATTATCAATTATGATGGTGGGTGAGGTTTAATGGCACCATCAATCATCTTTAAGTCGCCCCTGAGCGCCACGGCAAATAATAATAATCGTCCCTTTCCCCGCACAGACTCAGCTTTTGAGGTTAAAATTCACTCGTAAGGGGGTGAATTAGGGAGAGTATTATTAAATGACATCACAAGAAACGAAAGATTACCAAGTATGAAACGCGTGCTTATAAATGTTCCTCTACTCGTCCAGGTAGCGCCACGACCTCATTACTGCAAAATCGCGACTACAGAAAGTGTTTGTTAAGAGATACTCATAGCGTTTATCGGTTGTTATGGTGCAACGTCTATTTCGGCGGAAGTACGAAACTGATTCTTCAGGTTATCAGAGAATTATATGATTGTATCAACAATTCAATAACACTGGTTCCATTACCAAACCAGTAAATTTTACATGTTCATTTTTTAAGAGAAAGAAACTGCATTTATTATGGATGCAGTTTATTAAAAAATAATGTAACTGTTACAAAACACTTAAAAAACTTACTATATTTTAAAATATATTAGATTGTTCGATTGTTGTGAATTTCTTCCCACTCTTTAAGTTTAGTTTGCTGCTTATAGTTGCCAAATATATGTGAATTAGACATACTTAGGAACTATAAAAGTAACAAAAACGTCTTCTAGAGTTACTGTGTGTCAACACGCTTTTAATACTATTAGGTCGATACGCTCAGAAAAGCGTAGCTAGACTGTCAATACGATAGCAGAAGAAAGTTCATATAATGGCAATCTAGGGCTATACTTAAAAGCGCCGAAAAATTATGAGTTCCTGACGGAACGGTACACGTTAGATAAACTTTCGTTTCTTTTTCACAAGATTTGGTTTACGTACCACCTCTGCCATCAATACTGGGTGATTTCCGAGACTGCATTACTACTACTGGTAACTGTGAAAAATTGGTCGAAAAAATACAAGACATTTTTTTTGTTTTTACCAAACATTAATTATCGAAACAAATATATCCGCTATAGAAAAAAAGTTGGTCCCACTGGAAAATAGGTGAAAAATTTTCACAGAGAAAAATCTTAAATTTACCAACATCATTCGACAAAGAAAATTTTAATACATTCGTAACAGACTAGTATTTCCGGAAAATTCATCAGAAACATTTTTTTAGACTATCATCATTTAGACACCACTTTCCCGAAGAAAAATTTGAAATTTTCCAACAACTTTGACAGAAAATTTTAATCTTTTGTAGACTAGTTCTTTTTCGAAAAATTCGTAAGAAAGTCACAAAACCATTTTGGAATCGCCGCAAAATTGGTGGAAAACCACTTTGCGAAGGAAAATTTAAAATTTGAAAACCCTATCATGTGATGTATCAATCGACGTGTCTCAAATTAATTTCCCGACACGTCTTTCCCGAAGAAAAATATGAAATTTTCCATCATCATTTGACAGAAAATTTTGTAACTAGTTTTTTTTTTTTTTCTCCAAAAGTTCGTAGGAAAAGTCACAAAACAATTTTGGAATCGCCGGAAAATTGGTGGAAAACCACTTTTCCGAAGAAAAATTTGTAATTTGAACACCCTATCATGTGATATGTCAATCGACGCATCTCGTTGAACCGGATAATTCTTCTTAAGGTCTTTGCTCGCTTCTCTTTTAAGTAAAGTGGTAAAGTTTTTCCCGGAAAAGCGTCCGACCCAAAATTTCCAATAATTTTCCTGGAAAATGTGTTTGAGTTGATAAGAAAATTTTGATTCCAGATTGTGACGAAAGTCAATAATTTCACGTACATTTTTAATTTTTTCAGAAATAACGTTGGGAAATTTGGAAAATTCGGTAAACAAAAAATACACATTTTTTGTATTTTCTCCAAACGATAGAAAATTTTTAGAAACGTATAAATCTGCTGTCGAAAAAACTTGGTTTAGATGGAAAATTGGTGGAAAACCCCGTTACTGTAGTTAAATTTCAAATTTTCCTATACCTTTCGGTAAGGATATTTTAAAAACATATTTACATTATTTTTTTTATAAATTTCTGAAAAAAAAACGAGAAAATTTTATGGTTTTTAATTTCCCCCTCCTATCATAAAAACTTTGACATGTAATATGTCAATCGACGCGTTTCGTCGAGCCGAATAATTTTTCTTAAGGTCTTTTTACTCTATCACTTCTCTTAAGCGAAGTTTTTCCCGGAAAAGCGTTCGACCCAAAACTTCCCCTCATTTTCCTGGGAAAAGTGTTTCAGGTATCGGGAAAATTTTGATATCAGATTGTGAGGTACGTCGAGTAGTATACAGAAAATTTGTTGAGGAAAAAAGTTAGTTTTGTCGGAAAACTGGTGGAAAACTACTTTCCAGTATGAAAATTTAAAATTTTCCGATACGATTCGATAGAGAAAAGTACAATGTTTCAGTAGTAAATAAATCTGATGTCAAAACAAAAAAAGTTGGCCTAGACGGAAAAGTAGAGAAAAAAAAAATTTAATTTTCTGACTTGATTCAACAAAGAAAATGTCAATGTTTGTTCAGTAGGAAAATTCGATTTTTCTAAGAAATGTGTCTAAGGTATCGGGAAAATTTTGATGTCAGATTCTGAGGAACGTCAAGTAGTTTTTTGTTTTTCTGAAAATTTTGAAGTCTGTGCACTGGTACCCCGTATATGCGTCGCCACTGGTGCGATGTATGCAAATATTGGCAATACCGGACGAACAGGTGAAGCGGGAGGAAGTCAGTCGGCTCTCGGCAGTCAATCTAGGAAGAGAGCTTGGCTGCTATGAATTGTGGTATTGAGTTAGCCATTTTTGTTTTGTTAAATTATTGTTTGGAGTGCCACACGTACTGTGTACGTGTGGAATTGTATTTCCTTTTTCTTAAAATAAACCAATAAATTATTTAAAGTAAGGTGATCTTGTTTCAAGTTCAACTAGGAAAAATCAAAGTTAAAATTTACGAAGAACCTTGAGGAGAGAAGAGCAAGCGGCCGGTGTATTTGGCGTCCCAACACGGGGCTTCCTTCGTAGAGGAACATTTTTTTGGTGAGCTTATTCCATTTTATCTTCTGGAAGTACATGATTTAAAAGTTTAAATAAAAAAAAAATAACATTCAACAACCGGTGCCGGTACAGTGAACTTTTTTTCGTAAACTTGATATTAACATTAAATTTTTGCGGAATAATCAAAGACTTTTATAAGAACTACTTAGTATTAGGATTAAAATTGAAAAAAAAAAATGCCGAGGAAAAACAAGAAAGGGGAAATTTCCGATTTTGATTTATCGCATAACACTTCTCAATCAAATAATATTGAAAGTGATATAAACAAACTTACAGAAAACTTAAATTCATTACAGCAAATGGTTGCTAATTTAGTCATAAGCGTAGGATCTATTGATAAAAGAACGAAACATATAAATGTAAGTCCTCAACATGAATCTAATCCACCGGTTGTTCAACAGGCAGCTAATAATGTATGTCTACCAAATGTCAATGTATTTGGGGCGGCGCAGAATCAAAATATTGTTGACAGATCGTATATTTCTAACTGGAAAGAATTGGGGGGTTGTAATTTAATATTTTATCCAAACTCTAAAATGCATCCAGTGGCGTTTTTAAAAAAAATTAATAAACTCTTTTATGAGGCTGGTGTTCCGGATAATTGTAAAATAAATTTAGCTTTAAATTGTCTTAGAGGCACAGCAGCTGACTGGGGTGCTATAAAAGAAGATTGTTTTTTAAATTATGGGGATTTTGAAAATCAGTTTAAAAGTCGGTTCTGGGGAGCCGATAAACAAAGGGAACTTTTCTTAGAGATACAGTACGGGCGCTTTGAGTCGGGCAGCGGCGCGGAATATTTTTTAAATCTAGTAAGTCAAGCCAAGTTTCTGGATGGGGAAATACCAACGGAAAAATTAATATCTATGGTTTCGAAACATTTTCCTCCGGAGGTACAAAGGGGGATAGTAAATAATGGATTTTCTTCTATTGAGGCTATTGAAAAATATTTAGAAAGGCTAGATGAAACATATTCGCGTGATGTGGACAACAGTAGACGTCGGAATCAGGGGCCAAATAGGGATTTCAATAATGCCTCGCAAAATAATTCCATAACTAGGAGGAACATACAAAGCGGTAACACGGAGCAAATTCAGGGGGGTAATACCAATATCCGCCATATCGTGATTTTTAACCAAGACCCAAATGATATCCTAACAGATAGTGAGGATGAGGTAGAAGCAGAGGAAATGCTTTCTCCGTACATTAATATTAAAATAGGTTCTGCAGATGTTCAAACCTTAATCGATAGTGGGTCCGACGTGTGTGCGGTGTCCGATAAATTTTTTAAGTCAATAAGCAAAGAAGAATTAATATACCTATTTTACCAATTACAAATACTTCGGTCGCAGTGGCAGTCGGTAACAGAACCGAAAAAGTCAAAAATCAAATACAAATTCCTACTTTAATTTCGGGAATAATGATGGATATAAATTGTTTGATCGTACCCAGTTTAAACGCTGATTTAATATTAGGTTCGGATTGGCTGCACAAACAAAGAGCAATTTTAGATTTCGGTAAATCACTATTATATTTTTCTCACAATCATAAAGATTTTTGTACAAAAATTACTTTTAAAACGAAAGTACAAAATTTAAGTATTAACCTCATAAACGAACAAATTTCAGACACTAAAGGTGCGCCAATGTCTGGTAGGCATGCATCACATGTATACAGCGACGTTGACCTTGCCAAAGCGGCAGAAAATGCAGGACTAGGCACTTCTAACGAACAAAATATGTTCTTGTTACTTAACGAATTTAGAGATGTTTTTTCAGAGACGCCCGGCTGCGTAAAAAAATATTTACATGAAATCGAACTCAATGATTACGATTCATTTAACGCGGCTTCGTATCCGATTCCCTTTGCATATAGATATGAAGTAAGTATGCAGATAAAGGAAATGCTAGATTTTAAAGTCATTAAAAAGGAAAAAAACAGAGTATATCTCGCCGTTGGTTTGCACAAAGAAAAAAGACAGGTCCGTGCGGGTCTGTTTAGATGCGCGCTATATTAATTCTAAAATGAAAAAAGATTTTGTTAGTCCACCAAATCCAAATGAATTACTTCTTAAATTTAAGAAGGGGCAGGTGTATAGTACTCTTGATCTTACCAGCTCGTATTGGCAAATTCCGATAAAGGACGATCACACGAAATATTTGGGTTTTGTACACGAGTGTGAAACTTATACTTTTTGTAGGTTGCCATTCGGTCTTGCAACTTCAATGGCAAGCATTATTAGATGTTTAAATAAAGTTTTAGGGCCGGATTGCGAATTATTTAGTCACGTGTACGTTGATGATTTAATAATATTTTCGGAAAGCGTGGATGATCATTTCGCACATCTACGTATTATATTCGAAAAACTCAAGAATGCGGGTTTAACAGTAAAACTAAGGAAGTGTCGATTCGGGTGTCCTGAAGTACCGTTTTTGGGCCATTTAATTACGGCGGACGGCATAAAGTTAGATGTTAAGCGTATTGAGGCTATACAAGACTTCCCAAGACCTCGGAACATTCCGGAATTACGCGGATTTTTAGGGCTGACAAATTACGAGAGAAGGTTTTGCGAAAGATATTCACATCTTACGGTTCCTCTCTTGCAATTATTAAAGAAAAATACAAGGTGGCGTTGGGGCGAAACGGAAACCGAAGCTTTCAAAAATATTAAGAAAGCATATTTAGATACGGTCTTATTACATCACCCGGATTTTACGAAAACATTTTATATACAGTGCGATGCGACGGGGGGTTGTTTATTCCAATTTTCGGAAAACCAAAATAAACAAATAATAGCTTTTACTAGTGTATCGCTTAAGGGGGCGCAATTATTATATACTACAACGGAAAAGGATGCGCTTTCGGTGATTCACTGTCTAAAACAGTGGCGTACCTTAATTTTGGGAAGAGATTTGGTTGTGATAACCGACCACAAATCTTTACAATTTTTATTAACGTGTAAGCTTCGTTCCGCGCGCCTCACGCGATGGACTATTTTTATGCAAGAATTTAATTTTCGGGTAGAACATTGTAAGGGGGTTGATAACCGTACTGCAGATGTTCTTTCGAGATTCCCGGTGAAAGATGTTAGTGTAGGATGTCCGGACAAGCGCACGGATGTAAACCTATATTTATTAAAATTAACGGATGATTTTCTGGCGTTGTGAGAAAATCTAAAGAGCATGCGCGAGGATCAGCTAATGGACGAATGGGTACGAAAAAAAATCGAGATGCTTGAGGGGACGGTAGGAACAGAACATGTCTCCAAGTGGTTTCTATTACACGAAGGGTTGCTGTTCAAAAAGGGGGACGATAGATCCCCAGGCTTTAAGTTATGCGTACCTTTTCCGCAACGAAAAGAACTTGTTATATCTCACCACGAATATCTGGGTCATTTTGGCAAAACCAAAACCTATAATTATATGAGATCGGTTTTCTATTGGCCCAAAATGGCAAAGAACGTACGACAAATTATTGCGGCATGCGATTTGTGCCAAAAGGCAAAGAGTGCTCCTACCAGTAGAGGTTTAACAAACAGTATTTTAGTTAAAAAACCGGGTGAATTGGTTTGCTTGGATTTAGTTGGCCCTTTACCTGAAGGAAGGGGTGGCGTCACCTTCCTACTCGTCATAGTGGACGCGTTTTCTAAATTCGTACGATTATATGCTATAAAAAGAGCGACGTCAAGGACGATCTTAAATCGCATTTTTAATAATTATATCCCGGAAATACAAAAACCTAAATGTATATTGTCGGACAATGCCACTCAGTTTACCAGCAACCTATGGAAAGAAAGATTAACCGAGGCGGGGATTCAGGTCAAATTAATCTCAGTGTATTATCCACAGGGAAATTTAACCGAAAGGTACAATAAAGAAGTTGTTCGTATTCTGCGATCATATTGTCATGAAAAGCACAGTAAATGGCCTAACTTGTTAAATTTAGTTGAAAACGCTCTAAATAATATACCTAATTTAAGTACGGGATATACTCCCAACTATTTACAAAAGGGGAAAGACGTGGATTTTCCTATTTATAAATTCTTAGATTTTCCGAAACAAGAGAAGGAAGATCTGCCTCGGAATGTTATATGGGAACTAGCGTATAATAATCTCCTTACTAAAGCGGAACGTCGGGCCGCGCGGGCTAATAAAGGGGTAACTCCTGTTAATTTTGAGGTCGGAGATTTAGTATTGACCAGGACGCATTATCAGTCCTCAGCAGCTGATAAGACTATAAAGAAATTTTTTTTGATTTACGAAGGACCATACAAAATTATCCGGAAAGCTGGACCTAATTCATACATAATAGGTGATTTGGGGGGTAACGAGCTCTCGAAACAAAATGTTGTTAACCTTAAAGCTTACAAGGTTCTGCCGCCCCCGTTCGCATAACTAAATAAATATATATATAATATTACTACGACCAGTTCTTTTATTTTTAGAAATCTACTTTTTTTTATATCTTTAATTTTTTTTTTTAGACTGCTCGGCTTGGCGGAATTTGCCGAATATTCTTGTTTTTTTTTTTTTCTCTTTTATTGCTTTAGCAGCACTATAATGTAAAACCTTATGGTTAGTGCTACTGCTAATAATGTTATAGGTTTAGGTTATTTACTATTGTGCGGTGTGATAAAGGTGCGGTCAGTGCGTATAACTAAAACGGACTAAAGACTTATTTTAGTTAGGGGGGTAGATGCACTGGTACCCCGTATATGCGTCGCCACTGGTGCGACGTATGCAAATATTGGCAATACCGGACAAACAGGTGAAGCGGAAGGAAGTCAGTCGGCTCTCAGCAGTCAATCTAGGAAGAGAGCTTGGCTGCTATGAATTGTGGTATTGAGTTAGCCATTTTTGTTTTGTTAAATTATTGTTTGGAGTGCCACACGTACTGTGTACGTGTGGAATTGTATTTCCTTTTTCTTAAAATAAACCAATAAATTATTTAAAGTAAGGTGATCTTGTTTCAAGTTCAACTAGGAAAAATCAAAGTTAAAATTTACGAAGAACCTTGAGGAGAGAAGAGCAAGCGGCCGGTGCATCTGAAAATTCGAAATCATTTTTCGATTTTTACCGAACGAAAGGAAATTTCCCGATACTGATAAATTCGTTGTCGAAAAAAAAGTTGGTTTTGTCGGAAAATTGGTGGAAAACTAGCATATTATTGGGCGAACTGGACTATCGATGTGACACGAGCAACCCACATCGAACATTTGAAATGGTTTATTCAAAAACTTAAATATATTTTTTCTTTCGATTGACATCTTATTTTACTGTTATATCTGTAATACTTTCTAAATATTTTTAAAACCAGATTATTAATTTGTAGTAACCCTGTACATAGCAAGATCAGAATAATTTTATATATTTTATTACTTTTGGTTCTGCAAAATTATCTAGTGCTTACAGGCCTTTCTGGTTTGGTTTTGCGTATTATTGTTTATATTAAAATTATTAAATCAGTATTTTATTGAAAAAAAAAAGTATTTTTGTTATTTTTGTCTTTTCTTTGTAGCCATCCACACTCCAGCAGGTGATGCTGACAACCAGACTATGAGACGAGGTGGTGGCAATGGTGGAATTAGAGGTAGAAGTCTCAGAAGTGATTTAATTTTCACAAGACCTAAGGAGCTTGTATCAAAACAGGGTAAAATTTTCTTCATCACACCTTAGTAACGTCATTTAAAATGTCTAAAATCGTTTCAGGTACAATTGGTGCTCCTATTCAATTGCTTTCAAACTACTTCCAGTTGATTGAAGCTGGGAAATGGAGCCTGTTTCAGTACAGAGTTGATTTCAACCCAGAGATAGATCACACTGGACACAAAAAACGTTTAATGTACCTAGCATTGCAGGGTGTTTTACAAGGATACATATTTGATGGAACTGTAATGTATTCCAATAGACGTATTAATCCAGACCCAATGGAGAAATTTGTGGAAACTGAAGCAGGTGAAAAAATAAGAATCACCATTAGACTGGTAGGCGATGTTGCCTGGGGTGATTTCCAATATATGAATATTTTCAACTTGATTATAAGACATTGTTTGAAGCATATGAAGCTTCAACAAATTGATCGAGACTATTATGATCCCCATCTTAAGGTAACTGTTTGCAACAAGTTAAGTAAAGTTTATAAATTCGTGACTTATATTTTACTTCGATTGTAGATCTCTATCCCAGACTATAGGATGGAGCTGTGGCCTGGTTTTCTCACTTCAATGAGGCAACATGAGAAAAATATATTAATGAATTGCGAATTGAAATTTAAACATATGCGAATGGATAACGTATATGATATGCTTTTGGAGTGCCAAAGCAACAATGTTAAAGCGGAATTCCAGTCAAAAATTATCGGAAGCATCGTATTGACTTATTATAATAATAAAACTTACAAAATTGACGATGTTGACTTTAATACTACCCCGAGTAGTACATTTCCCAAAAAAGACGGCACTCAAATATCATTTGTTCAATACTATCGGGAAAAATATAACATAAACATTCAGGTACGTATAATATTTCACTTGTAAAAGTGTAATATATTGAAATATATTTTTTCTTTACACAAAAGTTTCTCAATTCCATCCAATTGTGCTTTGACGGCCACATTCCAAATTTTTTGCAAAATAGCTCATATTAAATTTAAAAATCAAGTTAAGTGCAATCTAGACATTAAATTTAATCCAGATGCTTTATTTTTCATATGTTTATTGTTTGGAAGAGAAACGATATTAAAAATATATTTTAATAATCAAAAAGAAGAAAATATATTTGGTACTCCCAAAGGGCTATTGACGACCGGAGTCTTTCGGTCCATATATATAATTATTCTAGGTGTTCCATTAAGAATGGGACATAAAACAACTGAACATTCTCTGAATAAAAAATAAGATGATCAAATAATAAATGCTTAGGTTTCTAAAATTCGGGATGTTAAAAGTTGAAAATTCAAAAATTATTTACAATTTTTTTATTGCTCAGTATAATTTTACCAAATTCGGCCAATGTTTTTGGTGTTACACCTATCAGGAAAAAGTCAGTCAAATAAACTTTACCTGTGGCGTACAGTATAGGTAAGTAACACCTTTATCCTTTCTAAATTGTTCAAAAACATTTTTGGATTAAAATTTGTTGAGAACTTGTAAAAAAAATCAAAATTTCAAACTAAAATAAAGACCCCAAATTTGAGTGCGAATATCTCGAAAACCAATTAATGTTTCCAAAAAAACATTCTTTATTTTTACTTTAACTGAGCAAATAATGATTACCAATGTTGCTCATCCAAATAAGAAAGAACAATCAGCTGAATAATTCATTATAAAAACACACTTTATAACATGTAATTTCATTAATTTTATAAACCTTTAATTGTAACATCTATAAATATGCATTGCCTAAATTATTTAAGCTTTTACGTTTGTATATCTGCATAACCACTGGTTTTCTTTTTTAATTGGAACGCTAGTCGATTTAATTTACCGAAATACTAGCGGAATCTATGAACATGTTAAAACTGGGATCAATGGCTCAGCCTTAAGGGGAATCTAACGCTCGAGTTTTGACTCAAATGTAGAGAGTTGGCTGATAACAGATTACAGGCTCATTTTCCAACATTTAAAAAAAAATCTGTTTGGGATGTCTAGAAAAAAACAATTTTAAAGGTTTAGGTTAAAACAAAATTTTGAATTTTTTTCATGTGTTGTTTTGGCAGAGTTCTAAAAATGTCAAAAAATGAGGATTTTTAAGATCTAATTTCGTGCTTCAAAGGAAAAAAACTAAAAAATTAATCTAAGATAAACTTAGATTCATCTCTTAACAATATTATAACCCAAGAAAAAAAATATATATATTCAAAAATAAGCTCGTAAAACGTTATCAGCTGTATCTCTAAAAGCGCAAATTTGAACACCGTTAAGTGGCGCCTCCAGCTAAAATGCATTTCGTTTTATAATATATTTTTTATATAGTAAGGGAAATCTAACGCTCGAGTTTTGACACACATGTAGAGAGTCGGCTGGTAACAGATTATATCCTTATTTTTCAATACTTAAAAAAATATATTTGAGATGTCTAGGAAAAACAATTGTAATGGTTTGTCATAGAAAAAATTTTCAGGTATTTTTTTTTGCGGAGTTTTAAAAATGTCAAAAATAGGTATTATGACGACCTAATTTCTTGTTTTGTAGGCAAAAAAATAAAAAAAATTCCAAGATAAATTTAGATTCATCTCTTAAGGATATTGTAATCCAAGACAAAAAATTACCATGTAATTTTTATCCGCTTACAAAACGTTTTATTTAAACACGAAATATTGTATCCTTAAAGCTTAATTTATAACCGCCGTAACGTAACTTAAGAACTTAACGTAAGAAGTTGAAATATTGCATTTACGTATACTTATTTATAATGTTCGTAACGTAACTTAAGAACTTAACGTACCGTAAAAAGTTCACCAACTTTTAACTTAACAACTTAACTTAAGACCTTACGGTTAGCCAATGAGATAATTCTGAGTTCAGCATGTGATAACTGTCAATTATTTTTTTTATAAATGAATAGACAAATACCATTTGTAAACTATCATTCTCCTTTTTGATGGACATACATTATCATGAATGATTTGTGTTTATGTTATTGGGGATAAACTATTTATGAAATATGAGTGTTGCTGCATATACCTATAAACATCAAGCCTTGAACTGAAATAAGACACAAAACTAGTTTGCTAGGAAAGATTAAATTCTCATTATTGCTCAAAAACAATCAACATCTTCGGTTAACTATTCTGTTGTATTATATTTTTATATTATTGCTTTTAAAGTAGTTAATATATTCTTTCTATATAGCAAAATCATAATTTATAAGTTTTATTTAGAGGTTAGGTACATTGTTTACACTTGTTTATTTCATAAGGTTGTCAGTAATTTGATAATCTCTGAAATACAACACGCATGATCAACTCTTACGTTACGGACATTTATAAATAGACTTTATTTTTATATCTTAGGTTAAATTTCTAAGGCGTTAAGTTAAGTTACGTTACGGTGGTTATAAATTATACTTTACTCTGTCTTCCTCCTTAAACCCCCAGAAGTACGAGGCATATTTTTCGGGAAAAACCGTCTTTTAAGATTGTTTTGGATTAGTACCAACTACCTAAGTTTAATAAGTTATAACGGACTATTTTCCGTTCTAATGGATTTTTTTATTACCCTTGATTGGGGCTTATTCTGGTATTTTGAAAGATTACGGAAAAACTGAGCTGTTCCACTTTGGGTCTTTACTATGAGTAGAAATATACAGGATGGTACAAAAAAAATGTGTTTATTGTAAATAATAAATTCAATGTGTTCGAGACTTTCTCGAACACTAGGGCTAATTTTAACCAATTTTTTTACAGATTTAACCCCTATGAAATTGATAGGCCCATAAACTTGTTTAATTTTTTACTTTAAAATGTTGCGTTATATACACACATACTATTTGTTTTTAAAAATTTCAAAAAACGAAAACTTACATTTTATTGGTATAGGCAAAAATATACATAATTTTTGAAATTATTTACAAAAATGCAAAGAAATAAAAGAAAACATACTTTACAAACAAAAAACAAGATATAGTGGTAAATTAATAAAGCAACTCATTATATCACAAATTAAAACACATTAACGTAAACAGTTTTCTAAAATAGGTAAATATTTAAAACTTAAAGTAGATGCTACCGAAATATTCTTCATTATTTTTTTTTTTCGTTTCGCTTTTTTTATTGATGGCTTCCAAGATATACTCAGGATCTTTTATGGGCATGTTTCTAGCCTTTCGAGAATCGATTATTTCGGGAATCATACAATCGTAGTAAAAAGATCGTAGAAATGGCTCCATCTTATTTTTCCAAAACTCTGAATCCCTTAGAATTGTTTCTGTTTTCATACCGTGTGGCATCCAAACCGAAATGCAATATGATCTTCTCGTTATCTGTAATTGCCCTTGAACTTGGTACAACCATTTGTGGTTTTTTATTAATGTCGTTGTTTTGCCAAAAAGTAATATTTTTCGTTTGAATTCCTTGTTGTGGGGTCATTTGTCTTGCAGAATAAGGACATTTTATTTCAACTAGGCCTCTTTCTTCTATAAGACCATCTGGGGTTGCTGCCAAAAAAGGTTGTTCGATATCAACAAAAAGACCGCAAGGATCTATAGTTTTCCTAGTTATTTTTTCTAGTTACTTTCTAGCATTTTTTTTTTATTTTTTTGCCGTAGTCACAAGCTGCCGAATAAAATCTTTTGGGATACAATATTGTCTCCAAAAGTGATTTACAGCTGGTTGTTATTCTTTTCTTGCAAACAACCCCAAAGAGCGATGCTGTAAGTTTCTTTCTTCTCTCAATATAACATAAATCCGAGGCATGCTGGCCTCTGGTTAATTCCTCTAGTTCATCTGCTTCTTATTAAGTTTTCTTTAAATTTTCTAAAAACATTCTCTGAGCATGTAAAAATTCTTCAGGAGGCATATCTGGTTTTTGGCACGTTTCCCCGTAGCTTTCGTCACCTTTGCTTGTTGATGGTTTTAGGAATGTCTTTTGCTTGTTTTTGGGTGGCCTCGTTTTTCTTTTGCCAATCGTTTCATTTCTAACCTTTTTGCGTATTTACTGGAAGATATCCCCCCAGAAAGACGTTTTTTAATGGTATAAATAGGCGTTCGAGTATTGTGACTAACTACAGCGGCAGAACATCTACTGTAATATGACCTTTTTTTGCAGTAATTAATTCTTTTTCCGCCAATAAATTTTGAGATAATTGAATTAAACTGCTCAACTATGTTATTATCTACATCATATATCAAACTGGAAGCATGTCGCAATAAATGTTTTTTAAATGTAGAGAGCTTTTCGTACAATTCTAAAAATAAATAAATATAGAAGATTGACACTATTCCATTTTTCTCATACTGGAGTGACAACAATATTCAAATCAAACTCAGTCATTTTTGTACGTAAATTTACTTAATAAAGTTTGTGGAGAATGACTTTAAAATTGACTTGAATCTGGACAAATAAATCGCCGTGACGCCATGCTAAACAAATCAAAAATGTATACTATACCTGTTAATTTTAAGTCTTTTAGTACAGTCCCTACTGCTATATAAGCTTCATTACAAAAATATCCGATATTCTGACATTCTTTATGTTCACCAAATACGTAGCTAAACGAGTTGTTATTTCTTAAGGTTATTTACTTTTATTTCCATGGGTACTTCCTCCTTTTTTTTTTTTTTTTCTGAACTGTATAGCTTTATTTACTGCACACCTTAGCCTAATTTTATTTTGCTAAAATAAATAGTTAAAACTTAAACACTCGGTATACAACTTTGCTCAAAAATCGAACTCAGTAATCAAGAAAATCTTTAACATAAATGTGTACTTACTTCAATTATTTTTCGAAGAACTAATGGTCCTGCACTTGTATCTTTGACCCTAATTTTCTTTGAATAGTTCCGAAGCAAATGGTTTTTGCATTCAATTTTTTGTATTTTAATATTGGGGTACGGATGGACATCTAAAATTTTTTTGAAGGTGTTACTATCACCATTAGCAATAACCTTGTAAATTAGGCCGTACGTCCCCAAACTTTTTTTAAACCCATCAGCAATTATGTCGGCTTCCATGCTGGTGGAGGAACCTGTCCAATTTTTGTAACATTTGTGTTCTGGAGTTTCCTTCTTATTTTTAGCTGATATGTAGCACGTGGTGCAAAATTTGTTGCGAACACCAAGAAAACGCACTTTTCGTGTTCGAAATCCGACTATAGCAGCTGCACCAGACAATGAATTATAATTATTGCCATAAGATCTTTTGGCCCAACTTCCATCTACCACAACAGTTATAAGCAGTATGCCATTTTTGTCAACTTCTTCAGCTTCGATTGCTAACTGGCGTTCAATGTCAGCTGCATCTTTCATAATTTTTATGCTAGTGTCGTCTCAAATGTCACAAATTTGATCGTGCACTTTACTATAAAGACGAGGTGACATACAGGGGATGTCCAATGACGCACTAAGCTGCTTGAGATGACTAAAGCCGGATCCAATGGACATAACAGCCAATACCCCATTTCTAGAAGTCGAAAGTTTGAATTCTTAGTGGCACATATTACATTTTATATGAAAAATGGATATGTCCTTAAAATTCTTCTTTTAAAATAACCATATTTAAAAGAGTACATCCAAATTTTATCGAGTGACTTGAGAACTGAATGAGAGAGTTAATAAAAAATTGTAGATCTACTATTCTACCTTCTGCGTACTTTCGCCTGCATTTTTCTAAAATATTAAATATATATTTTTTTAGATAAATGTTTAACAAGGAGCAAAACCAACAAACCTCAATAATAAAAGCATCCTCAGTGTTCAAATAGGGTATATTTTCGATTTCATTAAAAGTATCCTAAAATTAAAAATATTTGACAATGTAGGGCACATCAAAATAATACAGGGAACAAGAACTAAATTTTGTATAACCTTTTAATATAACTGCCACAAAGAAAAACTGAAACTAACAACTCTCCGCAATATTACTATAGTGACCCTAAAAACAATCGACTACCACAAACAACAATACAACACTAGAATTAGTTCAGATGAGATTTGCGTTCTAGTTATTTCACCCCGTCAAGTCTGGACCTGAATGTGCAGCGTTAAATCGTCTTCTGCAAGTTATTCCCCCTCTCAAGGGCTTCTCTCTTTAAAGAAAATAGCCAAATATACCACGCGGTCCGCCTTCGTCGTACCTCGGACTTCTCCCCACTGGACATGTAATTGTTTAGCTTGAGCGTTAGATGCCTGTTAATATAAAAATTAGACCACATACCATGAAAAAATCGCATTGGGTGACTTCCTTGATGAGGAATAGGAGTTCATTTTAACTCATCAGATTTCTTAGCCCCGCATATGCCATTTTTAATTTTATGAAAATTTATTAACCAAGTCGCCATTAATTGTCTATATGTAATAAATAATAATAGTGATAAAAATTCTCGTTTAATTTTACAATGGACTTACATTTTTTTTTTTTATTTCTAATTATAGGTGCCAAATCAACCAATGTTGATTTCTCGGAGTAAACCTAGAGAAATCAGAGCAGGCATGTCAGAAATTGTACAGTTAGTACCAGAGCTGTGCCAGCTAACTGGTTTAACGGATCGCCAACGTGACAACTTTCAGCTAATGAAAGCTTTAGCTGAGCATACCCGTGTTGGTCCAGCACAAAGAATGAAAAAGCTGGAAGAATTCAGTAACAGACTGCTGAAGTGTCCCGAAGCTGTTACTGAATTAAAAAAATGGGATCTCAAATTGGCGGACCAATTAATTAGGTTCAACGGTAGAGTTTTACCCCAAGAACAAATTGTTGGTGGTATGTATAGAGTTAAATAGCTATAAAAATCTTGTGCCAATATAAAAATGTGTTTCAGGAAACAACGCCAAATATCCAGCTGGCCAACAGGCTGACTGGACCAGAGAACTTAGAAATTTGCCAATGTTCGTACCAGGCAAAATGTCGAAATTTGCCGTAGTTTGTCCACAAAAATTTAGAAACAATTGTGGAGAGTTTCTACAATGCCTACAAAAATCTGCTCGAGGGATGCAATGGGACATTGGACAACCCCGCATCTTTGATATCCAAGACGATAGGGCGAATTCATATCTGGAGTGCATAGAAAATTTGATATCGAAAAACAATCCAGATATGATCATGTGTGTGACTCCTAATAATTCTGCAGATAGATATTCTGCAATTAAAAAGAAATGTTGTGTTGATAGAGGAGTTCCAACGCAAGTGATATTGGCAAAGAATTTAAGTTCCAAAGGTAAGTAAACGTTTACACAAAAAAAAACTTATTAGCAATAATATGTTATTTAATCCATATAATAGGTATTATACCTGAAGCCTTGGTATCACTCTAGGTATGCATCTACAAATTAAAAATATTACTCATAGACTTAGTGGGTGAAATAAATTTAAGTACTAATGCAACTTTTTATATGAAAATCAGCTGAAAACTTTATATTTGACTCTGATACAATCGCATCTTTCTTGCTTATGGAAATATTGGGTGGGGTGGTGCCATTTAAAGCAGTTGAAAAATATACAATAAATCTATAAAACCTCTAACTTATCAGAGCCACACACTATTCAGTGAAAATACATTTTTCTCTTTTGAAATTGGGACAGCTATACTACCAAAACATTCTCATAAACATCAAAAAAAAAAGAAATGTCTCTCAACATAATCAGATAAGTCCGGAATTGGATATATTCCACATTAGTATTCAGGATATCAAAAGGCATTATTTAGGATAACCATCATTGTACTTTATTTCCTGTAATATTTTTCATTTTTGTACGTTTCGTCTAAATATTTTTGTCAACCTTTCAATGAGCTCAAAGACTCAATACTACGAATTTGCAACAAGATTATTAATTTGTTTCCAGACTACATGGATATTAATAAATGTTTACATAAATGCTCAGTTTCATTAAACGTAATACACAAGATCTCGAATATATCTGCAATAAAACTTTTATATGTATCATTAGTTAGACCTCACCTTAAATATGCTTCTTGTATATGGTCACCTTGTTATGATATACATATGTTAACAAATTGGAGCAAGTTCAGCACAAATTTCATACAAAGTTAAACTACAACCTCACCGAATATAATGAAATCGTATCCATGTTGAGTTTAAAAACCTACAAAAAGCCACTAAAGATCCCGTGCTCCTGTACGATATTCTAAATTTTACAAAAAAAATGCTCAGACCTACACAAGTTGCATTTCAACGTTCCCTTCAAGTTCACCAGAGCAATGAAATTGTTCTACTTACCAACTACACAGAAAACTCCTATTTGATCAGATCAATAAAATTGACCAATTCGACGTCTTGCAACAATAAATTTGTTCCTTAAAAAATTTCTTTTTGTGTCCTTCATTTATAGGAAGATACGACTAATTTTTGTATATTTTATCCAAAGTGTTAATAATAAATAAAATAAATATTCTATAAAAAAAAAACTAGATAGCAAGTAATATATGTATTTTTAAGTCACTGTATTTTTCATATAAGAAGCAAGGGTTCACCATTTCCGATTGCATTTAAATCCCGCTAAATGTATTAAAATGAATCTTCTACCAGCTTAAAGTATAAGGTTTGGGGAATGAAATCTCCTATTTTTTATTTGTCCTGTTTATTAGAGCTGTAAAAGTAACGAGAAAATCAATACCCGTATGTATTCGTTACTTCGGATCTGACTACCCGTATAAAAATATTCGTTACTCGTTACTTTCGTTACTGTGATACGAATCTACAGAACACGCATCGTGTGGACCTCATACACGTCTATGCGGATGCGGAATTGATGTCGGTAACTAATCGTAGGTACGCATTGCTTCGGTTGTTAGGTTTTGGTACTGTCTAACAGAGGGTGCGGATGAAATTAGATATCGAATCGTTGGTTAAATAAATACATAGCGAATTTGGAATTTGTAATTAGTAACAAAGTCGTGTAGTTCACTGAGCATGAGCAATGAGAACTGATGTGAAGTTTTGCAAAATAAAATATCGTCAGACAGGTTGAACAGAAACATATATATTTTTCTAACACACTAGTAGAAACAATAATAATACTCTATAAAATCATAACTTTAATAAACAAAAACATATTATATTCTTGCAACACGCAACAGAAAAACAACTATTATACTATTCTTTAAAACTGAAATAAATAAATACATAAATATAAACAAAAGTACGTTTCGAACTCTCCGAGTCCCAGTCGACGTGCGGTTCGATAGTCGATTCGCATCAAGGCCACACTCGCATTTCGCATCGCCCATCGGGCCATCTCGCATCTTGCACACCGAACCGGTGGCGGTATGTATTCTCAAGTATTATTATTGTGCGTTATGCGACGATGCGGATGCGAATAACGAAATTTAAAATGCAGTAACGAATTCGTATTTCGTATCTGACCGACTACCCGTTACTGAGTAACGAATACATACGGTTTGCCACAGCTCTACTGTTTATACACTTAATTTAAAAAAAAATTATAAAAAGTGATTTTAAAACCAAAGACTAAAAAGTAGGAGATTTCATTCTACATATTTTTCCAAGTATCCTGCCAAAATATTTTTAAATTTTATTGCGTATTTTTCAAATCTAACTGGAAATACGATTAACAAATTTTTGATAAATTTATTTGTCAAATTAGAGATTTTCTATGAATTCCTGTAATTGTGTATAGTTAATAAATTATTGTGGGTATACGAGTATAAGGTAATACAAACACTTTTATTACATTTTCTTTTTTTTTTTTTTTTTTGTTGGTTCTTTGGCTGTAAGACCTTTCGGTATATACAGGGTATTCCATTAAGAATGAGAACAGCTGAAGATTAACTAATTAGAAATAAGCCGAATAAACGAAACGTCCGTAGGTAAAACATTACTCGTTTCCGAAAAACAGGGTTTTAAAGTTGAAAATCAAAAATTATGATTAGCTACAATTTTTTTATTACTCAGTTTAATTTTACTAAATTCGGCAAACGTTATTGGTGTAATAAAATACACCTATCACCAAAAAAATAAGTTAAATAAACTTTGCCAGTGGCGTACGTCATGGGCAAGTAACATCTTTTTTCGTTCTAAATTTTAGTCCACTGTCCACTTTTGATGTTTTTTAAATAAAGTTGAGTTAGTTTTTGAGATATTCGCACATATTTGAAAATTCAGAAGTTTTTAAATTTCGATTTTCTTTAATAAATGTCTAAGAAGAGTACATTATTTATTTCAAAAACATCAAAAAAAAATTTAAAATTTTATGTCAGAATAACATTTTGGATAGTGACGTAAAATTTAGAAGGGATGCGGTATTACGTACCAATGCTGTACGCCACTGGAAAAGTTAATTAAGGTAACTAATTTTTTTGCTGATAGGTGGATAATTTGATACCAAAAACGTTTGCCAAATTTAGTAAAAATTTTGTGAGTAATAAAAAAAATATAGCTATAAATATTTTTTGGATTTTAACACCGTAATTCGGTACCAAGAATCATTTTATCTAAGCATGATTTGTTTAGTTGTCTTATTTTTTATCAGAGAATCGTCAGTTGTTCTATGTCCTATTCTTAACGAAACACCATGTATACAAGAATGAACTACTAAGTAAATATACCAATGCGTCGAATTTAATACAAAACTTTTATTTTTATACCTGCTACATCGAAAATATTTGTCAAGGTCAAGAACTCGTTTACCTATTATCGCGTAGTAGCTAGGGGTGATGAATATTTTATTTTATAACAGTTACCGTTTAGAATTAATAAAATTATTACGCCATCTGTTGAACAAAAGAACTATTAAATATGGAATATTGCTTCATCTGCTGAACAAAAGGATTCTTAATTTATGACACATAAATGACATCTATCAAAATTAGTTCATGTTGCGAATATTGGGGGTGGTACTGTGGTCTTAATGGCCTAATTAATCTAGTGTACAGTTCATCAAATTTCTAGAGGTGTTCGACGCCCAGACAGAGAACGCGCTACGTGTGACTAAGATAGCTATTGTACAGTCTGCTAAACAAGTTATTTTAAATAGTTTTTAATATTTTTAGGTAATTAAATTTTAAAAGTGTGGAATAGTTGAGGGATTAAATTGGTCTGATTGGACTTTCTTAGAACGTTTTTAAAAGCAGCTAAAGATAGTATGTAGAATTGAAAATAATTATTATGCCATAAAAGGTGTTTTGGAATTCCTTCAACCTTTTGAAATTGAGTTAGAAAATATAAATTTTATAGGATAGCAGAAAATACCTATAATTTTTTTGTAGGCCTTTGTAAATCGTGGAAATAGTTTATATTTTATTTCTACCTTATTAAGGAAAATGGTACCTATTATTAATAACGGTTGTTTCTGAAACATTACTAAAATTTTCGAAATTTTGTTTTTCTACAAAATAATAAACTATACTATTTAGAAAAAAATTTATTTCTCTTATAATTTTATAAAAAATAACGGGAATATTTACATTTCTTGATCTATTATACAAAACGATAAATTATCTCCACGAATGGCACCATTTTCTAGTACGGAAGCTAGCTTTACATTTTGTTGGTGGTTTCATGGGTTTCATATCAATTTTTTGTAATTGTAGTTACACGTACATATACCTCTTAACACTTGTTTGCTTTATTAAAAAAGTGTGTTGTTGTGATTTACGTCGCAATAAGTCAAAAACAACTTGAAACCCCATATAAAATCAAAAAGGAGAAACGGAAAAAAATTGAGCCTGTAAATGAACACAACTCAGAAACAAAAATAGCTATCTAATAATAAAAAAATAAAATTTGATTCTTGTGCAGCTTCATCTATATCATTAACTGTTTTTGGTTTTTTAATGGTTTTTCTTGGGGATGAAAATTCCGATATCTCACGGTTATCGATTCTTTTTTTCTCTCCAGAAATGCGGACGACAGTGTTTTTAGATACTCCTGTGGCTGCAGCAACACGATCATTTACATTTTTAAATGGTATTGAAGGTGAATTAAAGTTTCCTTCTTTTCTCATAAACTCTATAACATTGGCTATTATTTCGCGAGATTGACTGTTAATCACGCGGCCTCTTAATTTGCTATTAAACTCCATACTTAGGTTCTATTAAACTGTAATGAGCAAAAAACACAAACGAAAATAAAAGAAATGTTTTAGCGAAATTTACATCTGACATTTACGTCTGAATGAAATAGTGAAATACTTGATGCGCAGAGTGTACTTTCATTGCGTAAATCCGTCGGGATGCCTGTCAGTAGTGCTTTCTCTGTCTAGCCGTCGAAAGCCTCTAGAAATTTGATGAACTGTATCTAAAATATAACTATTTATCAAATCTTAAATAGTATGATCCAATTATAACTTTAACTTCTGAATATATCTATAACTCTTCTTAAGACACTGCACCTAATGTCATTTCCTAAAATATAATAATGCTTTTTGTTTTTTTTTATCATTCTATATTTTAATTCACTTTTAATTAAATGTTTCAAAATAAACTAGCTCTCTGTGAGTTATCTATGTTTATATCTAATTTGCATAATGGCAACTATTCCTTTTTATTTAATAAACATTTTTATTATTCTAGGTGTGATGTCAATTGCTACAAAAGTAGCTATACAGCTAAACTGTAAAATAGGAGGGGCACCGTGGACTGTATTAATGCCTCTTTCCAATTTAATGGTGGTTGGATACGATGTTTGCAGAGATACAGCAAACAAAGGAAAAAGTTTTGCGGCCATGGTGGCTAGCCTGGATAAACAAATTACGAGATATTTTAATCACACTTCTGAACATGCACTTGAAGAAGAATTATCTGAAAATATTGCAGCGTTCTTAATTTTGGCCTGTCAGAAATTTAAAGAATTAAACGGACGCTATCCAGAGAGAATTCTGATCTACAGAGATGGTGTGGGAGATGGTCAACTCCCTTTTGTTATTGAACATGAGGTCGAGAATATAAAGAAAAAGTTAACGCAGGAAATTTATAAGAATAACGATTTGAAAATGGCGTTTGTAGTGGTCTCGAAGAGAATTAACACACGAATATTCACAAGTAATGGAAATCCACCTCCAGGAACTGTTGTGGATGATGTAATTACTCTACCTGAAAGGTAAGTTATATATTTGTATTTAAAACAAGCATACAATATTTCGTACAGCATATCAAAATATACATTTATTATATATAATACATCTATACATTTAAAATAATGATTGCTAAAAATTTAGATGTATATAATTTGTAAGTTGTTTAAGTAACTGTAATTATGGCCCCTATTCTTTAACTAGTTGTTATTTACCAACTTGCTATATAACAACTCGCACACTCAGAAATAAAGTGGCATAACTCAAAATTTGCATGTTTAAACTTTTAATCGTAAAACGGCCCAAAATGGCGCGCTCCATGTGTAGAGCTTTTTAAATGACAGTGCTACTCCAAAGCCGAGATGGAGTTTGAGTAGCACCAGTTATGCCTCTTTATTACTGAGTGTGCAAACTGGGTTACAACTTTGGCATTTTTATCATCTTAGGGTAGAGATGTCAAGTACCAAGTATTAAAAGTAATTTTAAAAAACCAATTTCAAAATCGTGCAGATGCCGTCACTACATCTTAACCAAATTTTTATGGAACCGCCCCTGAGGTACCCCCTTACTAACAAAAAAAGAATCTTAGAAATCGAACAACGTAGTATAGAATTATCGCTAAACATACATAAAAAAAGAGTTTGAGGATTTTTATCAATTATTGGATTTTGACCAGATTTATATGAGACTACCCCTAGTAACCCCCCCTTACTAACAAAAAAAGAATCAGAAATTGGACAAGTTGGTAAAGAATCACCTCTAAACATACATTAAAAATGAAGAGTTTGAGGATCTTCTAATGGACACAATTATTAGATTTTGGCTAAATTAATATGGGACCATCCCTGAAGTACCCCTTTTCTAACAAGAAAAGAATCGTTGAAATCGGACACCGTGTTAAAGAATTATCGCTGAACATACATAAAAAAAAACAATTACGACGAATTGAGAATCTCCTCCTTTTTTGAAGTCTTGTTAAAAAATGTGAAATGTCATTTACAGTTTCGAAATTTTTAATGTGCAATTTTCTAGTAACCGAGAAATAGTAGTTAGTCTTAGGTGCTTGATTCTTAAAAGAAACCATTAGAAAACAATATATGTTCCTACTTACTTCTGATAAGTTCTCTTATTATCTAATCAATACACATATCATCGCCTTTATCACGAAGTGGCATAAATAGCAAATAGTAAATTTTACAGGAAAGCAATAAAACGGAAATACGTAATTATCAGATATACATAATATAGAGGGATTTAGAGTTTGCGCTTTCAAATTTTATCATGGAATTCTAAGGTCTAGTTTTATTGTTTCGTCATTCCAGATTAGCCAAACGCCCTCGGGATTTAAAAAAAAAACATTCAGTTATGCCACTTCGTGACAAACAATTTTTTTAATGTAATATTTATGTATGTTTTATCTGCCTGTGATTATATTTAGTACAGGTTTGGGAAATTACAAATAACTGAAAACTAATGATTAAAAAGAGTTGGAATTACGTTGAAAACTATCATGCTTCATGAGGTAATTCCTGATATTTCTGCAATTCAGGTAATAGAACCAGGGGCATTTGACTTCTGAAGATTAGGTCATAATACTTCTTGCTTGTTAATTTTACTGATTCTGTGTTGAGAGATACTAATTTAATATCACAAATATTTTCTGTAAGTTTTTTTATTTCAATACTGTCATACTCTTTATGGTAATGACTTAGTTTGAAAAATAAATTAGATGGCATGTCTCTTCGGACCATAAATTCTATAATTTCAGTCCACTTTCTCCTGACGCACTTTCTCTAATTGATAGAATTCTTATAGATTTTAACAGTTTTTTAAAATCCAAGAAATCTGAGTACTTCATTGGAATGACGACCTAAGATTGTTTTCTTCTGGCCAATCGAAAAATGGGCACCGCTGTGAGGGTTCAAAAACATCCCCAACACCTATTATGGCAGTATTTATTGTACTGTGAGCAAAGTCCCCCTCACTCTGCCCATGGTTTGTTTCGAAAAACCTTAGTGATGTTTTCACAATTAAAAGATTTTTACTCTGGACATAGCAGCCGTCCGAGTAGAAAGAAAGGGTAGTAATTTGGTCTTCATTTGTAAAATATTCCAAAGATTTATAAATACATAAAGAGATTACAGAATTTTCATTCAACGGAAAGCAACGACATTCTTTAGTACCAATATTGTAAAAAGTAAAGTTAAATGTTGCTAATCTTGTTTTGTAGTAAATAGCATTCTCTTTGCTTCTTGGCAAGTATATAACTTGTTGTAAATCGAACATTCCACAGAGAAATGATTTGTTTTCAATTGTTCTTTTTTTGTCTACAGCGTTTAACTCTCTTACTTTTTGCTTTTCTGCAATATGCCGTGTGTACTTGTCTTTTAAATAATCTCTACTTGTAAGTTATACAGAGATAACATTAATTCTTTTTTGGATTGTAGAAAGATAAGATAAGGGCGACGATTTGTCCCATTAATTTCTTGATCTATTAAAATATTTCGTTTATGAACTGCAATAGTGGAATGACACGAACTCCCAGTAAGTAGGGCAAAAGATTAATATAAAAATGCTTTTATAACTAATTAAATTAACTTTATTATTTTAGAAGTAAGAAATTAGAGACAAACGAACACTTAGCAATTAATACCGAATTTGTATTAATGATAATAAAAAATATGCTGTCGAAATATTAGTTTGCATATAAATATTAATTTGAAATTGTATCCTCAAGAAAGACTAGCCTACATCAATTGTCAATAATTCAAAAAAAAACAAAGGTTCTTTTAACAATGAATAATTATTTTTAGGTATGACTTCTTTATAGTAAGTCAATGTGTACGCCAGGGATCAGTTTCTCCTACAAGCTACAATGTAATATCCGACAATTTGGGACTGCCTCCAGAGAGGCTACAAATTTTGACATACAAGTTATGTCATATGTATTACAACTGGAGTGGTACTGTCCGTGTACCAGCTCCATGCCAATATGCTCATAAATTGGCATTTTTAACAGCCCAAAGTTTGCATAGGCCAGCAAACAGAGCATTGGAAAATGTTTTGTATTATCTTTAGATGAAGATGCATTTGGTGTTTTTCATGAAGCCACCCTTTTTTATTTCATGAAGCCACCCTATTTTTATATATTAACCCCTTGTTTCTTTTTTGTTTACTGGAAATGCCATAGTGTTTCAAATAAGAATTTAAGTATTTTGTTTTTTTTTTTTTTAATAGTATTAAGAGAATGTTACTTGTTTCAATTATTTTTTCTTATAAAATAAAATGAAAGTTTTTTCAATAATGTTATTATTAAACAGAATGCCCATGCTCAATGTCATAACAATTCATAAGATCATTATAAAGTAAGAATATTCAGTTTTAAAAAGCGAACTCAACGAAGTTTAATGGCTCAAAAAATATTTTTTAAGTTTTCTAAATAATGTTCAATATCACCTTTTTTTGATGTAAGATAACTTTTCATTTAACATTGTTTAAATTGTACCAATTTGCTCCTTTCTTACATCATTGTTGGTCGTGAGTCCTAACTAATATGCATAGGAAATAATAGAAATTACTATTTCAATATAAAAATAAGTTTTTTTTAAGATCAGGCACATCAAATTTCGTTTAAACTAGTGATGACAATTTTGTTTCCAATAGATAAAATCCCATCGTCTGAGCAATTAAATTTTAAGTTGCTTTTAGCTAACAATTTGAAATACTTTTTACTTTATGATCATCTCATATAAAAATCTCAATAAGTTTATTTAGATTTTAAACACAAAATAGATGGAAAGGAAATAAATTCCACTATTATTCTTTATTTTTTACTTAAATTCATAAGAATATACCAAAAACCTGCTTGAATACACCTAATATTTTAAATTTTTATCATCTTGCAAACAAGTCATCCACAAAATGTATTTCTGTTGACTAACTATACATATTGACGTATTTCATGAAGACACCCTATGGCTCGTCAGAAATAAAGAATTTTGAATTTTGTCGTTTTTAAAATTGTTTTTAATTCCCAACGATAAATGCCTTAGTGTTTTAAGAAATACTTTAGTTTTTAAGAGAATGTTACTTTGTTATATTTTTATAAACTTTCTTATAAAATAAAATTATCAAAAATGTTTTCCAATATTTTATTGAAAATACTTACGCTGGTAGTGGTAAATTTACAATAAGCTTATTTAGATTTTAAAAACTAAAATTACATCCATAAAAAAAATCTTCAAGTACTTGGGTATTTTTAACGGCTCAATCTGCATAACTTGGTTAATATTGGATCTTTCCTTTTGACTCTTTTTAATTATGTAACCATACTTTTGTGAGAAATGTGCTTCATACATAAGAATTTTTTGTTTTAGTTTTAAGTAAATGTTACTTGTTTTTAATTACTTGTTAGTTACATTTTTATAAACTTATAAATAAAATTTCTAAAAGTTTTGTTTTTGCAAATATATTAAACAAAAATGCATACAAGTATATACGATCACAATAAGCTTATTTAGATTTTAAAAACTAATAGTGATGGGTCGCTCAAAAAAGTCTACACACGTCTGAAATGTGAACAAGTTCGAGCAAACTTTAACAATTAAAAAGTGTGCCCATGAACGAAATGAAGATTTGACTTAATATTTCTTATAAACAGGAAAAATAGCGAAAAAAGTAACAAATGACTACTAATTTTTATGTTTTAACGATTTTCTGATTAGTGAGATTATAGCCTCCAAGATAAAGTGATTATCCACTCAAGTAATTTGAAATTTAAACATTTTGGTTTATTTTTATAAATAAAGGATCAAAAACTTTATAATATGTATTTGCTGTAAAGTTTTAAAAAGTATCATAAAATTTGATACATCGCTCTACAAATAATGCAATTTTTAATATACCAATTTTAAAATCATTTAAACTAGTCGGCCATATAGGAAAATAAAAAGAAATTAACAAAAATTTGTTATAAAGTAGATAAAAAAAAACAAAATAAACCTTTTTATCTGAATCCAACAAAATAAAAAGACGATCTTGACAGGCTTGCATAAAACGGCCTTGACTACTTTATACTTTTCTTTTAAAGGTCGACTACTTTCCACTTTTTCGGGCATGTCTGTGCGGTTCGACTAGTCTAAAAATGACTTCATGAAAAGACCCATCACTGAAAAAAGTTAAAACCATGAAAAAAAACAAAAATGAAGTATTGTATGTAGAGTAATATTATTCCCATTTCCAGTCCAGTAGCTTCAAGTACTCTGTTTCTGATATATCAGCTATTTTTAATGTTTCAAGATACATCTAAAAAGTATAAAGAAAATTAGTTTTCGTAATACGCAGGTGCGGAGGGTTGATTTTTTTGTGGAGTGCAAGGTGCAGAGGTTATAATAGTAATAATTAACAGCGTTATCCACTACGCTCCTAACTCAGATTTCAAATCTGCTAAATAATATGCGATGCAGTACTTTTCAGCCCAATTTGGCAACGACGGCGCTCGATGTTTGAAGGCTTGTTTCTCCGAGATATTCAAGTTGGGGTCGGTTGCGCGTTTTAGTTTATAGTATAGCAAAAGTTAGTACAACAGTCGCTTATTGCTAGAGATGTTAAAAATTGGCGCAGAACCAAATCAGACCCTACAGGTATTATGGATAATAAATACGTAGTATATGAAACGGCCACGCACGACATTTTTGAGTACCATGTTGGTAAAGACATTTTTTACAATAAAAAATAAGCAATTAATAAATATTTCTATTATTTACATCACCGTAGATTGAAAACTAATTGAGCTATCGGCTTGATTTTTTTATGATAAAGTAAGAACATGACCACAAGTTTCAGAAAATATAAAATAATAGCATGCATTAAAAACATAAAATACCTATATAGATTTATTTCAAAAATACAAAAATATTTTGATTTAATTACAAACAAAATCAATAATTGTAGATTATACGTAGAGAATCGCAGGTACCAGATAATTTTTTGCCTCATTGCATCTTGTGATGTTAACTTTGAAGCAGAAGCAGGGCATTTAATTTCAATTATACAATCAGTTCCTACCAGAACCAGGCCATCAGAACTAGCTCCTAAATAACAAATCCGGGTCGACAAACAAAACCACAATTTTCTACATGCATAATAATTTTTCTGAAAATTGACTTGTGCTATTGTTTTTTTCTAAGCCATATCTTGTATGTTTATTTCCCATGTGCTTGGAATAAAGCAAATGTTAAATTTTTTACAATTTGTTTTTGGCCGCATTTTACAAATAGTGCCAAAATTAGAAGCAGTTATGCCTACATTTCTAGCTTGTTTTCATGTAGGATTTTCTCCTTAGCTTCTAGTCTCTTTTTCAATCAATTCTATTTCCAGATAAATATTTTGTTATTCTTTTAAAAAAAAATTCATTTTTATTTTAATACTCATCATTTAAATCAGGTATTTATTATATACTCATGGTTAAGAAGACCATAGGTATTCTTTATCGGGTAAGGCATTTTTTTTTTGACCGTCAGTCAGTTATACGAGTTATATCATGTGATAACTACGAGCCTCTGAATAAAATCAAAACTGTCATTTAACAAAGAAACATTTTATTAACCGACATGCGTGATTTTTTCCATGACATAATTTAGCATTTTATCACATGTCATGATAGCAATTGATCATTAAATTATTATTTAATGAGTGCTATATTAGGTGAGATTTAATTAGGACTGGGCCATGTGGATCTGTTGTGGATATATTTTAATCGTTGTTTAGAGTACCTTGTCTAAAAATGCCACAATAAGGATACTTACACTTTTAAATTATTCTAAAAATCATTGTAGGATTTTTTACAAATTTTTGTTTTGAAGGAAAACCGTATTTTTTGTTTCCAATATTATATTATTAAACACACTATCATACCAACAACGATAACACATTTTTTTAAACTCTGTCACTCTCTTGCAAATGAAAATACTATTAGTACAGGATCCGTAAATAATGTCGACCTTCACCCATCTGTTTAATGGATAAAAGTTTTTTTTTTATTAAACAAAATTTGTTTTTAAATATACCGCAAATGGGTTGCCTAAGAAAATACGGTCAGGGACATTTTTTGCTTTCCTTTCTGTGTACAGATAAGGAAAGTTTAGGAATCATGATAAAAGTTGCTTATGATGCCATTCTCTATTATTTTGTTCCTATACATAATTTCCCTAAAATGGACCTAATTCGAGATATTTGAGGAAAACTGCAAATTTCTAATTTTGAAGACAACCCAAAAACGGATAAAGAGAAAAACACCAAATTTTAAACTTAAGCTTTAATCTATCCTGCGGCAAGCTGATTAAAGTTTAGACATTATCGAAGCATCTAGGGAATACTTTACAGGGTGTCGTTTTTTTTATTTTAAGAAAATAAATACTCTGGACCATATTTTCTTAGGCAAACCTTTTGCGCTGTATTTATAAAAATATTTTATTTATTAAAAATAAACTTTCATCCATTAAACAGATGGGTGAAGGTCGACCTTACTTCGGATCTTAGACTATATCTATTTATATATGAACTAACAGAAAAGTAAAATTAATGTGTTTGTGAAACGTATTCAATATTTCCCCTCCACCGGTCGATCGGGGAATAATTTGCAGTTTTAACGCGTTCGAACTAGTTTTTACACACTGTTTCAACTAGTTTTTACACACTGTTTCAACTAGTTTTTACAAGCTTGTTCAACAGTTTATCATCCTTGTGAAATGCCTTTTACCAAAATATTTTTTAGACTTATATGTGTTTAAAGTGAATGTTTTTGAATTTTTCCTGGAGGTATATTTTTTTTATACATTTTTAATAAAATATTTTATGACATGTTTCAATTTTATAAATATCTTCACGTAATTATTAAGGTCATTTGATCAACAAAATCGTTTATAATAAAGAACTAAAAAAATAAATTTTAGTAGTTTTTCCATAATATGCAAATATGCGTCTCAAAAACTTCAAATCTGCAGCAGCGTTACGAAAATTCAACCTGCCTGGTTAGAGGTTAATTAAACGGTAAGCCGATCCTGGAGACATGGTCAATATCAGTGCGACGTTGCTAAGTAGTTATTATCTCGGGTAAATCTAAATACATTTTTAGATTTTTAGTAATTCTAGGTTTACAAAAAAAATAGGCTTTGTAGAAACAAAAATAGTTGAAATAAACATATTTTTTGAATAAAAATACGCCAGTCGTCTTTTTTTTTAAATTTTGCTTTTAGTCTAAGATCCAAAGTAAGGTCGACCTTCACCCATCTGTTTAATGGATGAAAGTTTCTTTTTATTAAAAAAAATATGTTTATAAATATATCGCAAAAGGGTTGCCTAAGAAAATACGGTCCAGACTATTTATTTCCTCAAAATAAAAAAAACGACACCCTGTAAAGTATTCCCCAGATGCTTCGACTATGCCCAAACTTTAATCAGCTCACCGCAGGACAGATTAAAGCTTAAGTTTAAAATTTGGTTTTTTTCTCTTTATCCGTTTTTGAGTAATAATAGAGAATGGCATCATAAGCAACTTTTATCATGATTCCAATACTTTCCTTATCTGTACACAGAAAGGAAAGCCAAAAATGGCCGTGACCGTATTTTCTTAGGCAACCCATTTGCGGTATATTTAAAAACATTTTATCTAATAAAAAAAACTTTTATTCATTAAACAGATGGGTGAAGGTAGACCTTATTTACTGATCCTGGACTATTTGTTGATATATTAAAAATGCTTTGTTTTTATATGTCAAAATTTGGACTCTGTAGCCCCATTGTGCACGACTCCATAAATATGCCCTGGAAACTTGGAATTAGTTTTTAGTCAATTTTAGTACATGGCTAACGCTCTTTAACCCACAAATTTAGTATTATGGATTACCTTTTTAAAAATACCTAAATCTTTCAGTGTTAAAATTGTCCATATCTCTATTACTATGTAGTTAAAATACAGATTGGTAACTTTGACAGACACTGAAAGATTTAGGTATTTTTATGTAGTATGCACAATACTGGTAAATTTTAAAATTTGTGGGTTAGGCAAGTATGGCTCTGAGCCACTTAATTATTAAAAATATTAGTCCACAGTATGTGCTTAGGGTTGATTTAAAACTTCGTTAATGGCTTAATTTTTACGAGTCTTAAAACACTTCCTCTGCAAGATAATTCACAGAATATGCTAAGTTTCTAATCCGCGATGCCTTTAACGTGTCCATTCTTTGATATACAATGATCGCATACTAATTACCTAATGTAACTTGTGTTAGGAAAGTTATTTAAATTATTTGCATAATTTGTCAGCTCGGGAGGAATATATCAAATTCCATATAAGAATCATTATATTCACCAATTTTTTATTTTTAAGTTCGACTTCACAAACGCCGCTTATCTTTAGTCAGATAAATTCATACTAATACGTCGCGTAGAACTATCAAATCATGACTGCGATGCGTGGTATGTGCTTTTCATGAAAGCAACAAGTAGTTAAATTTACTTGTCTGCCAAGTTAAAAATCCATTGCCCTATAACTTACGTTATTCTTGTCTTTTTGTCGGACTGGAAATTCCGCGCATTATTTTTGGTAGGCATTTTGCACTATTCGCACATTATGGGTGATGGGTGATTTTTGTCGCATGTAGTAATCAGAATACCACTTATAAAAATGACAAATAGCTTCATAAATAAAGGAGTCTCATTGTCATCCTGTATAGTATCTACTGCCTATATTTCAATTCGTACATACTGAGCATGTGTAAAGTTTTATTTTGTAATTTGAACGGAAATGTCACACTTTAACTGAAAATGTCATGTTCTTAGCTCATTTTGTTTAAAACGTTGATTCTCAACCACCTTTCGTCTCTGCCAATAACCATTTTATGTAGATTATCATTATGTCCGATAGCCATTAAAACGCTGAGCTCTTCGTAAGCAGCTCAAAAATGGTCTGGAGATGCCTAGAAAATTTGAAAGAGCTAGGCGAGGAAAATACAGTTACTCTCGCTTGGGTTCCGGGACAACAGGGTAACGGGATTGCAGATAATCTCACAAGGAAAGGGGTTCAAACAGTAAACTGAGACTAGTAGAAGATAGCGAGTGCAGATTATGTGAGGAGGAGGAGGATGAAACCTCCATTCACATTCTGAGTGTGTAGCACTCTAGAATCCAAGGGCGCTATACCTAGGAACTTGAAGCCACTCCAAATGCACACTTCCTTGAGAAAATAGGCATGCAGATATTTCCTTGCTGCATTAGCGATAGAAGGGGGCACAATATATATTTTAGGTCGTAGTGTATTAACCAACATTTTTATTGATGTAATAAAGTTACAGCGTCTTGTCCGTTCTTGATGGAATCTTGTTTAAAATAAACGAATTCATTAAGAATTGACATTTTGCGCGTTGCAGAAAACTCATTAAAAAATCTGATGTGTTCAACACATGACTTTCTTATCTACTTATTATAGGCTTTTTCCGGTTATTGTGTACAACTTATTGTAGCACCTTTATAAATTTTTAGAGGATAAACTAAATATATACATTTTCCACATACATCTAACTCGAAACATTTTTCTATAATTATTGAAAACGAAAATACTGAAAAATTTAAATTTAGCACTTTTCCTCCAATTTTTCCATTACGGTCCATTTTAGAAAAATCATTTAATAACAAAACTTATAGAGATTCATCGCAAACAACTTAAGTTTAACAATTTTCTTAAAAATCAGAATTTTGCACATTTTTTCAAATTTCTTGAATACGGACCATTTCAGGAAAATTTGACATAAAACAAAAATTATAGATGATAATAATATTAGAAGTAACTTTTATTTGAACAATTTTCTTCTCCAAACATAAATAACAGATACATTCCATAAAATATAAAAACTGCCTCCCATAAAGTACCCCCCCCCTAGATGCTCCGACTTTGTTTAAAATCTAATCATTTCACGTCAGGCCGAAATAAAACTTAAGTTTAAAATTTAATGTTTTTTCCTTTATCCACTTTTGAGTTTTCCTCAAAATTCGAAATTTACACATTTTCTCAAATATCTCGAATACGGTCCATTTTAGAAAAATTATGTATAGAATAAAAATTATAGAGAATTATATTACAAACAACTTTTATTTGAACAATTTTTATAAAAAATTATTTTTTTACATTTTGTCAAATTTCTCGAATACGGACCATTTTGGAAAATTTTGTATAGAACAAAAAATATTGATAATATTGTAAGTAACTTTTATTTCAAGAATTTTCTTCTCCAAACGTAAATAACAGATATATTCCATAAAATATAAAAATGACCACCCATAAAGTACCCCCCCAGATGTTCCTACTCTGCCCAAAATCTAATCAGTTTATTGGACGCCGGAATAAAACTTAAGTTTAAAATTTGGTGTTTTTCTGTGTATTGGTTCACGAGTTATGGTGGATACAGACACACACACACAGACATCATCGCGAAAATAGTCAAAACGGATTCAGGGGACCTCAAAACGTAAAAATCGTCGAAAACTGGAAGTTGAAAAATCATGATTCCTATACTTTCCTTATATCTGTATACAGGAAAGTAAAAAAGGACCTGGTCGAGTTATAGCGACACCGATAAAACATTCCTCATTACATTCCTTGAGTCCAAAACATTGAAACTGATCGTTCTAGAAAATGTTATATGTGGTGTCACTATATTCGACTGACAACGTTCTACCCCTGAGAGGCCGAGCTCTTGTTAATTGATGGCTTAGTTACAGAGATACAGCGTGTTAAAATTTTGAATCAAAATTCAAAATTTGTCATACCTAAATCAAAAATGTCTTAAAAGATTTTTTTCAAATTTGATCTACCAAGATCTCAAATACACGAACTATTAAAAATTTGTCACGTGCCTACTAGATTATATTGAATTCTTACAAATTATCTAATTACATGCAGACTTTTGTTTAGAAGCAAATTTCTACAACACCGTTAATTTTAGCTCAATAAAAGGTTACTATACTTTTTTAAATAAAAATGAACGGATAATTAAAATATATATTTCAGTGGCTTTAAAAATAGAGAACAAAAGTTGCCACTAACCCTGATAGCTCGCAACTGGTTAAATTTTTCAAAAATTAGAATATCTCAAAATATTACTTGCTTAAAGAGCACATTGATCACCAAATTTGAATTTCAAATTTAAAGTGACACCCTGTATAAAGTCACATTCGAGGGGTGAAACCTTTCCTAAACACTGGTAGGTTTTCACTTGAAATCTCCAAAATCACGACGGAAAATCCCAAAATCATCACCAACAATCATACCCGAATTATGAAAGCAGCAGATGGTGGATCAAAAAAAAAAAAAAAATAGTGAATAGCTTTAAAAGTCTGAAAATTCAAGAAGAAAATTTATAGATCATATAGAACCATGGGCGATTTCTCCAAAATTTTTGGTCATTTCCGAAATATGGGTACGTTTTGACCTTAGTGGTTTCCCCCCAACTATACCTTTAAGCATATTGCATTCACGGTATTTCGTGATGAATTAATACATAAACCTTTTTTTTTAAATTGCCTATTTCTTGCCTTGGTGAGTACCCTAATCGGAACGTTTGCCCTACCCAGCATATGCATTTAAATGTAAGTATACCTTTTGCTTTTTGAGGTTATCAATCAGTTGTAATTGTTTTTTGAATCCATTTAATAATTCAATCTTGTGTTTTTCAATATGTTTAACAGTTGCAGTTAGATCATCGATTTGTTTTTTGAAAACGTCCCTAGCTTCCTAAAAAATAAATTTAGAAAGTTGAATTATAATTTGTGCTAATTTAACACTTGTGTGAGATACCTACAGGACTATATTAGAAGAATGATTGTGCTTACAGTACGTACAGTTTTTACAAAAGTTGAAAATAGGTCGGAACCACACAAGTGTGAATTTTGAATAAATGAGCCGATCGATCTTGTTTAAATCCTATTCACCCCTTTTTAGTTGCATCAGTTATGTACTATTGTTACCTTTTCTTCATCTTTAACAATTTTTAAAGCGTTCTTTAATTTTTCATTCTCCTCCTGTGACCTCGCAAGTCTTACGTCCAAATTGTTAGAATTAAGATTGGAATTTTTCAGTTCCTTTTTATTTTGGTCCAGTTCTTTTTTTAATGCTGTTACCTCATTGGCTTTGGCTTGAAATTTTGAATTCAAGGAAGACGCCTACAATTTTTTAAGAAAAAAATTAAATGTAACCAGGAAAACCAATTATCTTCATATAAATGGCAACCCCAAAAATGGAATTACTAAATCACATAAACATAAATAATAAAGAATAACCTGGGAAAATAGAAACCTTTTTACATTTGAAAATTACCAAGAATGTTAGAAGAATCAATATGTAGTTAGTTCTTAATAAATATACCTCAAACTACTTGTACATTAGAAACATTACCTGAATTTCAAGTTTTCCTATAGTATTTTTTGTTGAATTGTAAGACATAAACCACTTATCTTTATCCTCTAAAAGTTTCTGATTTTCTTCCTGAAGTTTTCTAATTTCATCAGACTAAAATAAATGTGTGTATTAGAAAACTACAAACATAAGATGTTTTGTCATTTCTTTTAAATACCATAGACACATGACTGTGCATTAAGAATTATTATTCAGAGTGACTACCTTTTTACGATTATCAGCTTGTAGCTTTACTACTTCCACTTGGAGTGTTTTAAGTTTTGCTTTGTAGAATTGATTGGCATTTTTAATCCCCATGTCATCTACACTACTTGGTATTAACAGAGAATTATTCTTACCAAATTCTAAATTATCTTCTAGTGCAGGCTTGGTAAACTTGAATTGGTTTTGTTTTGCCAGAATAATGTCAGTCTTGGTTTTAAGAGATTCCTGTATAAGATTGTCTTGAATTTTCTAAAATAAACACTCTTTTAATAACATTTTTCAAATTCGCAGTACATACTGACCATAACATCATTAACTTTCTTCATCAATTCCTTAGTTCTCAGTTCCAATTTTTCATTTTCTTTATAAAATTCATCTTCCTTTTTTAATAGATCTGACTCCATTGCTTTATTAAAATATATCTTAACTATACAAATTGACAAGAATTGTTTGTATTGTCAGACACATTGAAAGTAGTATTTATTTTGTTACCATGACAACTTGTACGAGTAAATTTATCTGGCATCTTGGCAACGATTTATCCATTCCATATAAAAATATGTAAATCTAATGCTCATTTATCGATAGCAAAATTTTTTTTCAACAGCTTTTGACTACTAAATCTTTCTGTTTCGGGGTGAAAGTATCTACTGTGAAAATAATTAAGATTTCCAAGTATTATACGGTGTTTACCAAATTACGAATAATTATCACCAAATTCAATAAAATTTAACAAAGTTTTATGTAAAAAAATGCAAAGCAACTCGCGATGCCTCTTAGCCGCATAGGTTAGGTATATTAGTTTGTTTTTTTTAATTTCTCCCAAAATAAATTCTTATCAGAACTGAAGGGTTTTTACTTATTCTCTTCTACACAGATTATAAGAAGTACCGAATGTATATCCTCTAAATGTGGATTTAGAAATTAATTATTATTGACCGTTTTAATTTTACCTAAGGCGTCCCCGGGTCCGAATTCATATATGAACTATCAGATAAGGCTGACATTTTAGGACCGAATTTGCATGTTATTTTTGAACGTTCATTCGCGCGGTACCCAATTTGTATGTACCCCTTTCGAATAGTGAAAGGTACCAGATCGTTGCCCTTTGAAAAGTAGTGAAATTAGTATTCGTTTCTTTTTTAAATTAAGCTGATGTTTTTGCACATAGCAATATCCCACATTCTTTCCGGCATGCTGACCTGTTAAATAATATTTCTAGCAAGACATAAATCGAATTTACCTGGAATATCGTAAACATCCCAGTACCCAGGGCAAAAAAAGAATTTTGGCGCCCCTTAAGGCATTTTGGATCATGTTTTTTATTTATTTTTTTGAAGGTAGGCAGATAGGTGCCTTAAATAAAGCAAAAAACTGAACTTTAGAAGCCATATTTATTTGTAGACTAAAATATCAAAATGAAGCAAACAGAATAAAATCATAACACAATAAATTAAAATAAATTCTTGTTCACACCCATTTTAAAGCATTTACTTAACTAATGGGGTACATACACGTTGTTTATAAATACTAGATAATAACCCAAAACTAAAAACCACATTTTTTTAGGAACAAATAACAGAAATATTGCCTAATGTCTACATATACGGAGTGGCCCAAAAGTCTGGAAACGGCCATGCAATTATCTCGTAAATTGCTAGTCCTAATTGTACAAAATTTGGGGTATACCTATTTTGGGATACGGAGATTCCAGATTTGATATTTACAATGTTGCCAGATTTGCCGTTTCTCTTATATTATTAGTCACTTTGGTTTTTCAAATTCATCACCCTGTATATTAAATCATTATTGGAATCTCCTATTCAATACGAGTTCAACCATATGTAACACTTATAATTTTATGTAGTCTGGAAGGTCTTAAATTTTCCGAGACTTTGCTGTTGCAAATTCATTAATTACATCACTAAAATTTATATAATCAAAAATGTCTTGTTAAATTGCTAATATTGCTAGCCCACACAATCTTTCTTGAAGCATTGTCGATCTTAAATAATTTTTAATGATTTTTAACTTTAAAAAAGATCGTTCGCCAGAAGCTACAGATTTTTAGTGGAATGCTTACGTTTGAAAGGGCACTGTAAATAAATAAATTTTTTAGGTAGGTTTGGCATACTTTAATATTAATTGTAGCATTTTGCATTTGTTTGCTGACAATATTTATATGAAATAAAACGTCATGCCAAGCAAATAATAATTCCACATATAAATTGAAAATTTTGTACAGACGTTAAGGGGGAACTCGCTTCATGTCTTGCATCAATGTGAAAGGAATTATCTTCAGCTACTTCTAGAAGACTTTCGCAAACCTTAATTAAATAAAGTTTAAGGGGCTTTATTGCATCAATTCTGCTGGACCATCTTGTCTCACTTAAAGGCTTTAAACTTAACCCGGGGACATTTTTTCTCATAAAATCCCACTTTTTTGTGGATGACAAAAAAATTTATATAACTCTTGCACAAGATTAAAAAAGTTTATTGTAGCATCTGACACCTTAGAAACGTCATTTACTATTAAGTTCAAAGTATGAGCCGCACAAGGTACAAAAAGGACTCTCGGATTCGCATCAAGAATGCGTTTTTGAAGCCCAACATGCTTTCCATTCATGTTTGCCCCATTATAATAACCTTGTCCCCTAATATTTTTTATCTAATTTAATTTTATCAAAATCTTTGTCACAAATGTGTATATCCCTTCCCCTGTAGAGTCCAGTATTGGATTAAACGCAATAAAACTTTCCTTAACTTCAAACTTTTTTGAAGTGGTGTTAAGGACAACATACGTCAGAACAAGACTAATTTGCTCAGTATGACTATACTGTACTGGTGTACAATCTAATATTATTGAAAAATATTTTGAACCGCGAACCATTTCTAAAATATTATTTCTTACTTTAGACAATAATTCAATTATTTCATTCTGTATTTGCACGCCTAAATAATGAGTCATTTTAACAGATTTTTTTTGGGATGCACACTCGGCTAACGTGCTGTCTCATCACTGAATCAAAAGAGGCAATCATCTCAACAGCTTTTAGAAAATTTCCATTATCATGTTCGAAAAGTAATTTAGAAGAACCGTGAAATGCCAAGCATTGTGTAGATAAATACTTAACAATCGCAATAATTCTTTCCAACACGTCGCGCCAATATTTTTTTTTGTCGTTTCTAAAATCCGCAGGTGATGAGCATTAACAGTCGTAGATATCTCCAACATTTTTTTTTTTAATTTTACCGAAGTGTTCATATAACTGTTGTGTAAAATTGACGTTTCGTGTCTCTTCTTTAGCAAATTCAGATACTCCATTTTGTATCACAAAAAGTGTTAGGAGTTTTACAAAACAACTTACAACAAAAACAAAATAGAGAATATTTAGAAATAGAGTAAATAAGTCCTTTCGACTTTTTCTCCATTTGCTAGACTTCTTACAAAGTATTTGCACGAAAACTTTCTCTTATCTTTATTACTAGGAAAGCTAAAACTGATATCTATCAAGGGCGGACCACGTTTAACCAATATTCTAGCTATCTCATTGGTGATTCTTTCGGGCCACAAACCGGGGTCGGGCGGAATTATATCGACACTAGCCTCATTAAAGCCTTCATTGAAAGTGTCACTTGCAGCAGGTATTTCAGTAGCTGAATTACCTGAAGTGGATTGTTCAAGTGCTGTAGACGAGGATAGTGTCATCGCTTCATCGGGCTCTGCATCAGTAGAAGCTGTTTTGCTGCTACAACCGCCACCACTTGTTGCAGGATGTTACCGTGGTCGCCTCTGTTGAAATTTCAGATAGCCCACTAACGGTTACTGATATTACGGATTTAGAATCTTGAGATTCGGTCGCATCGATGGTCTCCGTGGAATCTTGATTGTTTTGCAAGAAGTGCTTTAAAGATCCAGCCATGTTTTCCCTATCATGTAGTCTCAGTTTCTTTTGCTCGGGAAACTTCGCACCTAAAGGTATCTTTATAGAAAAGGGTATCTTTCTTTTATCCTGAAAAAACAAATAAATAATTAGTACTCATGGGAATTAGGAATTAACTTCTAAAGTAATAAACACAATAATAAGCACCAAGTTTGCATATTTGAGTAAAAAACAATTTGTTCGAGCCCTTTCAACTTAAACTCTTTCAAAAATAAAGGCAGAAAAAATATTAAACTAATTTGATCGTATAGCTCTTAAAAAACCCTATAAAATGGTTTTTAAAAAGATCGATAGCATAAAAACTAAGCGAGTTATGGATAAAAAAACAATTAATTTTTTAAACTCATACATGACATTTCAATTAATAAAAAGATATTTGGGTAACAAAAAAATATAACCAGTATCCTATAAAGGGTTAACGTTGATAGTATAAAGTGGGGAACACTTACCATTTTATAAAAATCAAACCGTTGAAATTGCAGTCAGCACTTAATTTTTTAGAAAAAAAAAGTAGTAAACAAAATATACAACACAACACTTGACAAAATAAAAATAACTTTAAATGTAAAAATTAATAGGATTACTTGTTTTTATGCACTTGTTGCACGGTCCAGTGAACTACCCGGTTTAAAAACGCCTCTGGCGATGCATCGCTTTTATAGCGCTCTAGGCATTATTCATGTCTGAACAGGAAAAATCAAGAAACTACCGCCTGACATGTTCTCGCAACATAGGAATCGGCAGTAAGATGATGTTATAGTAATAAAATTTCGTGTGTATTTATACCTAATCCTATTTAATTTCTCAACTTTTATTTTAAAATTAATATTTGTTTTTTTTTGCCAATTTTTTTGAATTTTTTTTTTGGACCCTGGGTTTTGACGCCCCTAAAGGATGGCGCCCGTGTGCATTGCACATATTGGCGACGCCCTTGAAATTTGTGTTTTTTTACCGAGACCCCTGTCTTTAGTATTAAGTTTAACCAAAATTCCTGAAAACTCAATTTAAATCTTATTTTAGTAAAATATTATTTCCTTTTAACTATATATTTAACATTTTTTTAATAAGATTGATAAGTAAGGTGAAATGATGAGACATTCGAAATAGAAATATTTTTAATTAACATCTATTAACAATAAGTAAAGAACATCAAAATATTTTTGTATAATTTTTATTTTTAATACTTAAAAGCTACTTGAAAGAAACATGTTGGTTTTATTAAACAAAAAAAAAAAACAAAAATGGATATAAATGAAAATTCAATGTTTGGTAATTTATACTAAATAGGTACCGGGTATCAAATAAAAATGGACACCGGCCACCATTTTACTACAAATCTGGTATTTTTTTAATAAATTTTTTTCCCAGAAATCTGCTAATTATTGTCAAGTTCCTAACTTTCCGATAGGGGGCGTAATGCTATAAAATGATCATGGCCATCTTCTTCTTCTTTAACTTTATATGGGCTCAACTCTTCCGAATTATTTACCAAACACTATTTGTTCTCAAATTTTGTAAAGTGGAAAAGCTGCACCCTCGTGCGTCCGACTTCTGTCCTCACTCTTCCACTGCACTTGATATTTGGTTTAAATATTCTTCTGTATTCTTGGTACAGAATATTTGGTTAAATTTAGTATTATAATTAAAGTCGGATGGTCACTTTTACACAAGATATTTAGTGGTTTATTATTCGGAGACCGCCATTTCAATGTTGCCACGACGATGTCCGAATCGGAAGTCTGATCATGGCCAATGAGAAAAAAAAATGCCAAATTAAGTTAGGTAATTTTGGCTATCTACTCGTTTATCATTGATCATAAGCATTACGCCATCTAGTGGCGAAGTTATTAAGGGGGCGTATTCAAGAGGGGGAGGGGATCAAGCTAAATATTTCCAAATCTCACTTGGGGGAGAGGGGGTATTTGTAAATCTGACGTATTTTTTTTCTTATAGAAAACGGTGTAAAATTGCGTGAAAGTAAAGTTAAATTAAAGAATGTTTCTAGAAATTTTATATTACAGCAATATTCTCAAATACTAGTCTTTGCTAGTCTTAAATAAAAGTAATAGAACATATCGTGTTTTTTTTTAATAATCCAACGCATTTACACCCAAAACACAAATTTTGAAAAATCTCAGGTGAGATTATAGGAGAGGGGAAGGAGTTGAGGAAAATCTTACGAAATCTCACCAGAGGGGAGGGAGTCAAAAAATCCTCAAAAATACCTCACGTAATTAAAAGACGCCCCCTAACTAGAAAATAACTTCCAGCGATTCTACTTGACATTCATAACATTTCAATTTGTTTTCCCAAAATTCTACAACTAAGAGTTTTTGGACTCCTTTCTTATTTAGACACTCGGTACATACTATTTTAAAATATAATCCAGATTTCACTTGGATATTCATTTATTCATTCTGTATTTTAAAAAATCTCTGGATAGTTTTAAAATGTATATTATTTTTTTTTGTCCAAATAAGTACTTATAAAGATTAACAGCCAATAACATAATATACAGGGTAATACACCGAAAACTTCCCATCCTTCCAGTAAATAATATGATAAACCGCAAAAACCCGTCAATATTATTTTAAGGGGTGCACCTACAATGAATACGTTTATCACTCGTGGCTCAACCTCCTAGGAGGGGTAGGTAGGATGTTACCCTTAAAATCTTAAATGGGAAAGGGGGTCAAGAATCACATCATTTTAAAGGGCGTTTAATTCTCTTTCCAATGGTACCCTAATTTATATTATCTTCTAACCAGCAGGTTCCGAAAAATTGCGTTTCAAAGTTACAGAAGTTGGAACGTGCCTGCACTGAGATTCTCGGTTTTCATGTTAGTATTTAAACAATAATTATTGTATTGGGTATCCTTTTAGCAGAAATGGTTAGAAGATTAGGTGGTACCAATCTTTTACATTTAAAAGTAATCTAATAGTAAAATTTCGATGGCAATTACGCATTTATCCAATGGTAGTTTTTTAATTCTTATCGTTGAAATTCCACATAGCCTGCCTTTTTTGCTATTTATATTTTTTGAATCTTGAAATAGCTGCTTTTTGTCAAGTAAAATGATTGTTTAGCAAATTTTGACCATTTATTATTAGTATTGTTAATCCAGTTTTACTTGTTGGGCTGTTCGAAAACACCGTTAAGTGAATAAACTGCAAAAATGTTTTACTATCTACAAGGAAAGAATCGAAATTATTTTCTTCAATGGAGAGGTTCCAAAATGCGCACGAAGGACAGCAATTCTTCTTAATGAAAGAAATTCTAATCGTAATGTAAATCACAGGACTCACAGGTATATTCTGGATTAGGTAACAAAGTGTTTGGAAACTGATTCGGTGAAAAATAGAAAAAGAAATAACCGACGAGTAGTAAATGAAAAAGTTCAAAATGAGGTTTTGGGAACATTTGTTGCAGTGCCAACTAGCTCCATATACGAACAGTAGCAGAACAGACGGGAATATCACGCAAGACTGTAAGAAGAGCACTGAAAATGCATGCATAAATTTCATCCCTATAAAATGCAGATACTTCAAGAGTTCTACGAAGATGATTTTGAGAGAAGAACAGAGTTTTGTGAAAACATGTCTGACCAAATCAACGCCAACCCTAATCTTCTGCTAAATATCTGTTTCAGCGATGAATCTTCAATGTTCAAGTGCAATGTTAAACAAAATTGTAGGTACTGAAGTGACGAACACCCGCATATTATTTGAGAAGGACATAAATAACGTCCGCAAAAAGTTAATGTTTGATGTGGTATTCTTGGAAATGCAATTATTGGTCCTTTATTTATTGAAGGAAACTTGACAGGCAATTTGTTCCTTAATATGCTTTAAGAGAATATTGATCCTCTTATAACTCACAAACTAGAAACTCAAACTGATGCAGAAGGTAATTTAGTTTTACAGGAGAATCTGTTACATTTCTAGCAGGACGGTGACACCTCATTTGTTTCTTCCCGTCCGACAGTGGTTAAACGAGAGATTCCCAGATTGGCAGAAGGGGAGTGATTGAATGACCCCTAAGATCACCTGATTTAACTCCCTTAGACTTGATATTGCTGATCTTAATTAAAAGACGAATTGCAGCATGCCGGTCTCAATTCCGAAATGTTAGAGAGGAGTTCGGAAACAGACTTTATTACTGTTTATAGTAGGTACTAATGGACAACATTTTGAACAGTTTTTAAAATAGTGTACAAGTAGATCCTATATGTGTTTTATTTTTAAAATTTATTGTGCAAATTAAAAGTTTTTTTTGTAAAAGTCACGTAACCAAAAAAATAAAAAATCAAACGTGTATACTTGATATTTGTCCTGTTATTCAACTGGATAGAATAATTTTTGTTTAAATACTTAACTGAAAACCAAGAATCTCACTGCAGCCACGTTCCAACTTCTGTCAAGTTGAAACACAATTTTTCCGAACCTGCTGGTCAATAGATAATAAAATAGGGTACCATAGGAAAATAATTAAACGCCCTTTAAAATGATGTGCCACTTGACCCCTTTTCCCATTTAAGATTTTAAGGGTAACATCTACTACCCCTCATAGGAGGTTGAGCCACGAGTGTTAAAAGTATTCATTGTAGGTATCCCCCTTGAAAATAAAATTGACGTGTTTTTGCGATTTTTCATATTATTTAGTGGAATAAGGAAGAATTCAATGTTGGTAATTTTCGGTGTGTCACCCTGTATATTCTTCAGTACAATAATTTTTAGAAATATATTAGACCATAATATAACGATAGCAGTCTTATAATACTTTAAATATTAATACCTGTCTTACAAACTTACAGACAGTACATGGCATTCATATTAATTGACTATATAATAATACTTAAATTGCAAAATTCCTGTGAATGACTCAAAAAGTTTGCATCATTGGTATGGAAATCTGCTTTATTGATTTTTGAGATAAAGTTGTTGCTTTACTTAAAACATACTTAAAATATCTAAAAAAATAACAGATATGAGGGAAGTTAAAATTATAAATTTGGTTTAAGAATAAATTACCCATATTTTAAAAAATATAGGAAACTTGTTTAAAAACGATATTTACGACCAATTTTGAAATCACAGCATCTTATCTCAAAACAATATTTTATATATAAACCTTTTCGAAAAAATTGATGTTTTTAAAAATAAGATATGCTTTGATAACTTCGAACGAGGTCAGTAGAGCACCTCGGTTTTTTCTACAAACAACTATGACACATTTTTAGACTATTTTTAGGCTCTTGAAATATTATAAAACCTTTAGAAAAAATTTGACATTTTTAAAAATACGGGGCGCTTTGCTATTTGGCTTCAAATGAACTCATCAAAGCACTTTTAGGCTCTTGAAATATATAAAAGTGTGGCACATATAGTTTTAATTAAAAAAAAAAACCTGAAAAACCGAGGTGCTCTGCTAGATATATACGTTCGAAATTAGCAAAGCACTCCTGTATTTTTTTAAAATAGCAAATTTTTTTCGGAATGTTTTATAATATTTTAAGAACTTAAAAATAGGCAAAAAATGTGCAGTTATTTTTAGTAAATACCTTAAAAATGGAGGTGCTCTACTATGGCCTAGATCGAAGTTCTCCATGTTTTTAAAATCATAATTTTTTTTAGAATGTTTTATATTTTAAGAGCCTAAAAATGTGGTGTGATTATATAAAAATAAATAAATAAAAAACCGAGGTGCTCTATTGACTCTGTTCCAGCAAAGCATTCTGTATTTTTTATGCCAATTTTTTTTGTAATGTTTTTCATGAGGCTAAAATTAGCCTAAAAATGTGCTGTGGTTGTTTTTTTAGAAAAAAGACTTTAAAAAACCGAGGTACTCTGATGACTTTGTTCCAGCAAAGCACCGTGTATTTTTTAAATAACCATTTTTTTCAAAAATTTTTATATTTTAATAGTCTAAAATTAGCCTACAAATATGATGTGGCTGTTTTTAGAAAAAACTTTAAAAAACCGAGGTGCTCTGCTAACTTTGTTCCAAAATAGCAATTTTGTAATAAACTATAGGAGTATAAAATTATTGAATGGAGTGTAAAAATAGCCTAAAAATAGGGCATAGGTTTCAACTCAAAATACCCGAAGTGTTTTGATACCTTCTTTGGCTTACCAACAACTTAAACCAATTTTGTTTGCAAGTGTTCACGTTTTTATCTACATAGTTGCAAAATTATTATGGGAGTATAGTTTGTGGTTATAATACGGAAATTACATTATAATGGAAGTGTACATTTGCATTCTTAATGCCAATTATTATTATTTAGTTTAATGTCTTTCTGATTCCAACTATTGTAATTGAAGGTGATTTCCAGGAAAGTAAATCATTCATTTTGCAGTACAGTGTAAAGCAGGTATGTGGGCTGGTTCATGTATAACATGCTTGCTCTCAAACGCCATCCTCACTCAATTTAGTAGGGCGTCTCCCTCTTTCTAATGCAGTAGCTGAGGCTTAGTTGTGAATGAATAGGATTAGTCTAGTAGTTGTTTGTTGTTGTCTTGAACAAAATTAATATTTTTTTACTTCCCTCATATATGGTAAATATTTTGAAATGTTATTTTAAGTGAAGCACGAACTTTTATCTAGAATTATGTTTTCTCAATTAATAATAATAAAAAAGTTTATCATATAATGGTGTACATTTTTTTAAATGTGTAGGGAACATTATTTAATTAAATCTTAATCATTTCATATAAAACACTTAAACTACATCAAATCTTTACAAAACAAAAAATAGGTTCTTTAAAACACATTTTGATGTATAATATATTCTATGTAATAATCAGAACTACTGTCAGGTGTAATTATATCATCTTGAGGTGAATTTGTTACAACTTGAACAACAAAAATGATTTCATCGTTTTTGATAAATGGAAGTTGTCTTTTAAAATTTAAGGATGACAAATTACAACGTCTATAATCTAAATTATATTCCAAAGCCGGTCTTAAATATTGACTTTTGATGTTTATATATCGACGAACCTACAAAATAAAAAAAATATCTCTTACTAGATAAATCACAGCTAAGGTCTCGATTTTATTCCATTTGTGCACTCTTTGAAAATAATTGTTAATTATTTCAACAATTTTACTATTTTTAAATGAACAGTCTAAAGATAGTAATGTTGTCTCGCAGATATTACAAAGAAAAGTATTTATAACAATAGCTATCTGAATGCTAAGGTAGAGCTTACATGCCTACATAAACATTTAAACAATAAAAATCCAGTTATAATATGCAGTGTAATTTTTACCTTAGTGTTTAGAATCAGTTCAGAATTGTTACCATGAAGGAAGCTATTGCTTTTATAATCAATATTATCGTGTGTTAAACGGATGTTTATTCAATTCCTAGCTTTTGTGGAAAGCGACATGCACTTGTTCAAAGTGTATTGGTAACGTTTGATAGCCGATAGTGTATAAGTATTTTGACATAGGGGAAGTTCTGGCATTTAATGAAATATTGATGGCATGGATGTGAGTTTTAACTGTGTAAATATATTTCAGTAGTTCTTAATAACAGTAATATATAATGCCTATAGATATTTTAATATACGTTATTAAAAATTAAAGTAACTAGGTATACAGTTTAATGATAGTACAATGCTTTCATTTGATCAGTTTTTAAGCATTTTAAAAAGTCCTTATTAATACTGTTTTGTTTTAATATTTATTGAAACATTTCCTTGAAATTGGATAAAATAAAGTAAATAACATACCCTATAAAAGCTAGTTGAACAATAAAGATTCACTTTTAATTGTTCCCTGATTAGTAACTGCCCATAATCATACAAATTTTGATTCCTGTCTATTGAGGATATAAAAATATTATTGGGGACAGCTTTTCTTACTTCAGATTCTATCATTTTATATTCTTCTGAATTGTTAGAAAGTCTAAACTGTTTAGATGGGCCAGTCTCACTTTTATCCCATGTAGAAGGCGTTAATTTTAATATCAAGGCCTCCATTATCAAATCTAAAAACAACAATCTCAATATACCTCTCGAGATAAGAAATTACGGTATACAAAAAATGAATTACCAACTTTAAAATGAATTTTGGTGCATCCCACAAAACATAATTTACACCAAGTTGGAATGACAAACTCTTCTTCTCTAGTCGTAATTATTTGGCCTCTTACCACGGTATTCTGTGCTCTTTTAAGGAAAAATTTTAGGAGTTGTCAGGCAGTTCCACTTCAACTTTATTTATGGTTTGATTGGCATCATCGAATACTATAAAGACAAAAAGAAGTTTTTTAGCAGTAGCTTTAGACAAAATTTCCTTGCCTTGAAGTCATTCAGTTCCTCAAAATTCCTTTTTTTACACTACCCAAAATAGTGGTTGGTGCTTCTGATTATAATCTTCTTATTCGTCTTCATTGATTGGCCTCTTTTTAGGTATACCGCCAGCAATTACACTGTGGCCTGGACTTCTTTATACTTCACTATTATTTAGCGGTCCTGCTTGACTCTGGGTCCATATTAAGTAAAGGGCCTCAACTTTGCAAATTTTTGAGTGCAGTGTTGTCAGATCTACTGTTTTCCCCAACTTGGCAAATTTTGTTTTTAATTTATTAGGTTTGCCTCATTCTTTAGCAAATGTACAAAGGATATTTTCCCAAGTAAATTTTATTAGTCGTTTTTATTCTTTAATTTCTAATTTAGGTATAAACGCCAAAAATGTTTATTTTTCGTTTCTTATATATAATTATTTGTTTTTTAATTTATTGCACTGCAAATTATAATTATTTCCTCCTGTTCAGTTTTGATGATATACTGTTTTTTCCCACCCATCTACTCTACTGTTAACAAATTTTTATCCGGCAACACATATTGTGGGCAACACTGTTTACGAGTGTAAAATACTTGTTTCATAAAATATATATGCTGCGTTTGAGAATCCACATCGGATGTCGGATGCATCTGAGATGTAAAAAATCTCTGATCACGTGATTCAGTATACGTAAATGTAATGGGACAGATGTGTCCGATGTGGATAAAAAAACGCTCGAGATGTAAAAAATGCATCCGATGTGGATTCTCAAACGCGGCAATATCTTTATCTTTGGAGAATATTAATTTTTACTTTCCTATCTGTATACCTGATAAGGAAAGTATAGGAATCGTGATTTTTTTCGACCTTGAGTTTTCGAAGGATTTTTACGTTTTGAGGTGCCTAGCTGAATCCGTTTTGACTATTTTCGCGATGATATGTCTGTGTATCCTCGATAACTCATGAACGGATACAAAGAAAAACACGAAATTTTAAACTTAAGCTTTATTCCAGCCTGCGTTGAACAGATTAGATTTTGGGCGGAGTCGGAACATCTGGGGGGTACTTAAGAGGTCATTTTTATATTTTATGCATTATATCTGTTATAAACGTTTGGAGAAGAAAATGCTTCAAATAAAAGTTACTTCCTATATTATTGTCTATAATTTTTTTCTTGTACAAATTTTCCTAAAATGGTCCGTATTAGAGAAATTTGACAAAATATAAAAAATCTTAATTTTTATGAAAATTGTTAAAATAAAAGTTGTTTGTGATATAATTCTCTATAATTTTTGTCCCATACATAATTTCTCTAATTCTCTCTATTCGAGATATTTGAGAAAAAGTATAAATTTCGAATTTTAAAGAAAACTCAAAAACGGACAAAGAAAAATACATTAAATTTTAAACTTATGCTTTATTTCAACCTGAGGTGAACTGATTAGATTTTGGGAAGAGTCGGAACATCTGGGGGGTACTTCATAGGAGGTCGTTTTTATATTTTATGGAATATATGTTATTTATCTTTGGAGAAGAAAATTGTTTGAATAAAACTTTCTATATTATTCTCTATAATTTTTGTTTTTACAAAATTTTCCTAAAATGTTCCGTATTCGAGAAATTTTACAAAATGTAAAAAATTCCAATTTTTAAGAAAATTGTTTAAGGTATAATTCTCTATAATTCTTATCCCATACATAATTTCTCTAAAATGGACCGTATTCGAAATATTTGAGAAAAAGCGTAAATTTTGAAGAAAACTCAAAAACGGATAATAAAGAAAAAAAACATTAAATTTTAAACTTAAGCTTTATTCCGACCTGTGGTGAATAGGTTAAATTTTGGGCAGAGTCGGAACATCTGGGGGGTACTTAATGTGAGGTCGTTTTTATTTTATGGAATATATGTTATTTATTATGTTTGGGTAAGAAAATTCTTCAAATAAAAGTTAGTTCTAATATTATATTTTCTATAATTCTTGCTTTTATAAAATTTTTCTGAAATGGTCCGTATTCGAAAAATTTGACAAAATGTGCAAAATTCCAATTTTTTAGAAAATTGTTAAACTAAAAGTTGTTTGCGATATCGATCTCTATAATTTTTGTGTTTTACATGATTTTTCTAAAATGGAAAAATTGGAGGAAAAGTGTAAAATTTAAATTTTGCAGTATTTTCGTAATAACTAGATATGAAAGTCATGTGTTGGGTCACATCAGATTTTTCAATTTCATTTTGCAAATTTTACTTTTTAACTCGTCAAATTTCTTTCATGAAACATAAATTTACTAAAATATTCAAAGTGAGAAAGCTGCAAAATAGTTTTATGATGAGAAGAAATATGCCGCAGATCGTTTGTGCTTTGAATCTCTTCCGTGTGAAATCAAAATATATACAAAAAATTTCATTTATGACAACGCATACACCACAGGATATCAGAAATATTCCGTGGAACTAATATGGATATCTAAATGTCCGTCTATATCCAGAATATAGAAGATATCCTAATGGATATCCAGCAAAATATCTAATGGGTATCTTCCAGACAATACAAGAAATCCCAGATATATCCACAGAATATATTTTGTGGATATTCAATATATCCAATATGGATATCCAACCAAATGTCCGCCTATATCCCAGGATATAGAAGATATTCGGATATTCAGTAAAATATTTTATGGGTATCTTTAGTAGAGGTTCATAAGTAACCAATGTTTATTGAATAACGTCGAAAGAAAATAGCAGAGATAAAAAATATTTTCAACACTCAAAATATTTTCAACACTCTGCCTTTGATATTGCCCACTAAGGAGAAAATCATCCTTATTAGGACTCTTCAGCAATAAATGGAAATTCTCGACTCCAGTCTCTATATAATGGAGTCTAACTGATCTACAAATTTCGATCGAACTCAATTACGGCGGGTTAAGCATGAGCACGAGCCATCTATACTTAGTAAGCAAAATCAAATAACATCTAGTGGATATCCAAAAATTAATTTTAAATATCTGAACGGTACTATTAGCTACAATGGCGTAATTTTTTAATAATTTGCTATATAATTACTATTATTTATGGACATTTGCATGTCTATAAATTACATCTCATGGATATAAAATATATATCCAACATGGACTGGACATTCAGTGGATATTGGGATGTTCAGTAGATACCCAAAGGATTTGGTGTGCTGTCTGGGTTATTACTTACTTCACTTTCCCGGCTAGCATACTTTACACAAAAGTCACTTATTCTATACTTCATAGGTTTACAAATAAATTTTTAATAGAACGATAAATAAATAATATAGTTTACTCACAATGGGTTAGTAATTAATGGATTTGAATCCTTCGAAACAGCCAGGAAGTGACTTAATTAGGGGTCTATTCTGTAAAACACATCCGTTAAAATTTAGAGGTCTTTAAAAATTAAACTTTTAGCGGCCCGTTAATTTTTTTTAACCAAAAATGGTATTCTGTATACACAAATTTTAGACGCATGTTATAAATTATTTATTTTAACGGATTCTCTTAAAAATGGCAGGAGAACACTTGACAACATCGCATTTAAGATTTATTTGAACTAGTTTGAAAACAACCATACAAATCCTCAATTTTCAATTCAAAACCGTTAAAAATTAAAGGCAAATTTTAACATCCCTTTAAAAATGATTGTTATTTGAGGACTATTTTAAATTAATCCGTTTAAATAATGACAGAAGTAAGTTAGTGAATACGAAAATATTTTTAAAGCCCTTAAAATATAAAGGAATTGTTACATAATAGACCCCTTATACTGCTTACTTCACATTCTCGGGTAGCATGTCACTCACTATATGCTTCATAAGGGTTTTTATATATTTACCTGCTTTTTCCGGAATTATGCCTTAGGTAGGTAGCTTTTTCTGCAGCTACTCACAGTTCTGGCGGGGTACTTTCAAGTTAACGGTCGGGCATATTTGTAAAATATATAATAACAATGTAATTAAAGTGCCATTCAATATGTAGCTGTTAAAATAATTACCTGTCAGATTTAACCAACCTGTTATAATAACTACCCAGACAACACACCAAATCCCAAAGATATTCACAGAATATCTTTTGTGGATATCCAATATATCCACAGGATATCAGAAATATTCCGTGGATCTAATATGGATATCCAAATGTCCGTCTATATCCAGAATATAGAAGATATCCTATGGATATTCAGCAAAATATCTAATTAGTATCTTCCAGACAATACAAGAAATGCCAGAGATATCCACAGAATATATTTTGTGGATATCCAATATCCAAATATGGATATCCAACCAAATGTCCGTCTATATCCCAGGATATAGAATTCAGATATTCAGCAAAATATTTTATAGGTATCTTTAGTAGACATTCATAAGTAACCAAATGAATGATAACGTCGAAAGAAAATAGAGATAAAAAATATTTCCAACAATCTGTCTTTGAGTTTGCCCACTAAGGAAAAAGTCATCCTTATTAGGACTCTTCAGCAATAAATGGAAATTCTCGACTCCAGTCTCTAATAGAGTCCTAATGCGAAAAAATGTTCGATCAACTCAATTATGGCGGGTTGAGCATGAGTAGATACGAAAGTGGTATCGCCATCTATACTTAGGAAGCAAAATCAAAAATTACATCTAGTAGTTATCCACGATGGTTTGCGTCCGCGCTAAGACTTTGATATATGTGGATGTCCATGGGATATTGAATACACCTTAAAAAAAATAATTTTAAATATCTGAACGGTACTATTAGCCACAATGGCGAGCACAATGGCGTAATTTTTTAATAATTTGCTATATAATTACTATTATTTATGGACATTTGCATGTCTATAAATTACATTTTATGGATATAAAATAGATATCCACTATGGACTGGACATTCAGTGGATATTGGGATGTTCAGTAGATATCCAAAGGATTTGGTGTGCTGTCTGGGTAGCAACGATCTCACAGGTTCTTTCCTTCAAGACG